AATTTGTAAACAATATGACTTTGGCACATGCTGGGCACATCATGCACACAGGACCTCTCTGCTCTAGTTGGGCCGGCTCAACTGTAGCACTCTAGTTGGGACGGGCCCAACTATAGTTGGGACTGATGCTATAGTTGGGGCGTAACAGGCCTACTAGTGAAGCGTGTTAGTATTCTTCTTTCTCGAATGTTGGACTGAATCGGTCATTATTCCTCTTTTCGAATTTTGGACTGGATCAGTATGACCAATCCAGTCCAAAATTCGAAAAAGACTAAGCGGAATACTAACGCTCCACTCAGTAGCTAGGGTACCCCCCAGAACTGTGGGGTCCAACATCCACTCCCCTTCCATGATCCCTGCAGAAAGACAGCTTTTTTCGCCATAGGCTATGCATGACGCTTAACAGGGCACGAACAGCGATTCCATTCGAGTTGTGTACCCATAGAAATGTTGCTTCATTTCCCCCAAGAATTTTATGTAAGATAGCTTACATACCTTTGTTTTGAGTACCAAGACAGAAAAGAGCCAAAACCATGCCGTTTTCTAAAAAAAAAGGTGCAAATATTTCCTGATCAGTGTCTGAGAGTCACACGGTTCACATGTGTACTTGCGAAAACGAGCCACGACCAAATTGTTGACTACGGCTGGGATTGATACACATACATGGAAATTGGCTACAGCCACTTTCCGTACTTAGCCGCGCTGGTTATAATGGCAGTTGGCCACGACGCACTGGGGGCCCATTTCCGCATTTTTTTTAATGCATTTTGTGCTCTAGAGTAAAGGGCTGAAACTTAGACCAAATGGTTGGAAATGGTGGACATACAACATTGCTGTAATCTGTGTATTGTTCTTTTTACATTTAATTTCCAGATGGCATTTGGATTCCAAATTGGAACCGTGTAGTCTCAATGACAATCTGTAGTGTGGAGATTACACCAAAAGCTGATAACATTTATATGACATGACAAGTATTTTAATTCTCTTAAATGACTTTTTTGTCCTTCAGGTACGCACATCGATCTGCTGAAGTAACTAATTCCTGAGGAGAAACTTTCCACTGAAGTGTGTTTCCTCGGCCTTACCATAGTATAAAATTGACCAGACGCGACTGTACATTTTGTCAGTGAGTAGGACATCTAGGGGTTAGTTCCACACAGGGGAAAACAGGTTACGCAGGCCTGGGGTAAGTCTGGTATCACGCATACAAGTCTTGACAACACTGAAAGGCTATGGCAAATCGTATCGTCACCCGAAAGCAGTCCCGGCACCAGGTCACCATGAGCGCCCTGGACCGGGACGTGCGGAAAGCTGTGGCCCTTGGGGACGTGGCCAAGGTTCGCCAGGCCCTGGAGGCGGGTATCTCGCCCAACGACGTAGATGAGAACGGCTGGACGCTGCTCCATCTGGCTGCCTCCAGGGGGCGGGACCGCGTCCTAAGGATACTGCTGGAAGAGGGAGGTTCGTAAATGAGTGAAAATTTCAACCGATCCTAGAACTGTCCATGATCAGTATGATGGTTTTTCATGTCGACCCGACATTGCTGGTGCTGTTGGGTGCGATCTGAGCCGTTGCTCAATCTTTCTTCATGATTTGGGAACTTACATTTTCTAAAGTTGGGGATTTAATATAGGATTAACCAAATCGCACAGTGCGATTTGGTGATGGTGCACATGGCCGATCGCGCCCAACAGGCCACCACCAATCTTTGTCTTAATCTCCCTGTTGTCTTTTGTCTTGTGAGACGTCTATCCCTAGTAACTCTTAGTCTTGTATGTGGCCATACGAACATCCTATAAGAAAATAATAGGTACAGCCACCACTTCAGCTTCTCCAAATGTGTGATTTAAGAGATCTAGACGTGACATAGAAAACATTTTGTAGGGTAAATTAATGATTATAAGATGATCTATTGTTGATTCTCCCAAAGTTGTATTAGTGTGACTTAGATTTCTCCAAATATTGGTTTTGATCGGTACGTTTGGAGTTGAATCTGAACTGTTTCCATGAATCTTGGTCAGGAAACAATGTTTGAGTTGATCAGTACCAGTGCAGAGCTTTAAAAATTACTTAAAGCTTTGTAAAACAGCCGGATTGTCAGTTTTAGAAAGTTACAAAATTAAACTTGCCTAAGCATTATTGCTTTTGCAACAGTCACACATTCCTTAACTTTCAAAGAAGGCTAAGCCCCTTGTAAACCTATGTGTCTAATATCTACCTTCCTCAATCCTCCAAAAGCTTCTTAATCTTGAGGTGAGTTAATATGAAGGATCAGGGAAAGTTGAAGTTGCAACTTAATAGAAAGCTTGGTGTTATAAAGTTGTATCATTTCTGGATTTTGTCGATTCAGGAAAACCAGAAATTAAAGACATCATAGGTGGGTTTACCTGTCTCCACTATGCTGCCATGCATGGTAGGACACGCCTCGCCCGTCTACTGCTGGAGTATGACAAGTCCAGGCGCTGCGAGTTGGTGGACACGCCTAGCCGAGACGGCTGGACGCCACTGCACGTGGCGGCCCACTACGGCCGCGACTCCTTTGTCCGGCTGCTGGTGGCCTACAGCGCCGCCGTGGACCCCCTCAGCGCCAAGGGCACCACCCCACTGCAGCTGGCCATCATCCGGGAGAAGCAGAGCTGCGTGAAGGTCCTTCTGGACCACCAGGCGGACATCGACGTCCAGCGGGGTTTCCCGCTGCGCTACACCATCATCAAGGGCAACCACGAGGCAGCCCGCCTGCTGCTGAACCGCGGCGCCGACCCCAACCTGAGCCGGGAGGACGACGGGCAGACCCCGCTGCACCTGGCCGCCATCAAGAATGACAGCCACAACTGCCGGCTGCTCTACAGCTTCGGTGCCAGCTGCCATGCATGCGGGGACGACGGAAAGACACCGCTGGACACGTACAAGGACGTCTACGTGAACAAGGAATCATCCCCGTGCTTCAAGTTCCTCCAATGTGCCACATGTAAGTCAGGTCACTCATCTTTTGTACACTCCAGTAAGTAACAATTGAAGGTATTCCCACATCTAGAATCTGAAGGAGGGTTTTAGCTAATAATGAAAGAAAGGGATTGAGTCTTGGACACTAGCAATTTTGATGAGTTAAGCTTTCCAACTTTTGGCTGAAGCCATCTCAGGTTTTGTCTCTTGAATGAGAATGCTTTCATTTTTGCATCAATACTCCCCCTACCAATGCCCCCACTCAGGTGGTTGGAGGCAAGGGTTATGCTCGGCATGCGTCACTGTACAAGTGAACTTGAGTTATTTTTCATTATTCTGCTTACAATGAGCAAACTGTTACTCTTCGCACCTCCAGCCTCGTACACGGCATCAGTTACGAATTTGTGCCCCCCCCTTGCATGCTACACCTCCGCCTTTCCCGGACCCAGTGTGCATCACGTTATAAACATATGCAGTGCAAGTGGGTTTGGAGTAAGATGCACGTCTAAGCTAAACTGTGACGACAATTTATAATATCTCTTCCAAAATTCATTTCTGCCCATAAATAGCCATTAACACTAACCCTGCCAGATGCAGCACAGTGCATTAGGTGAAAAAGTTCGATTTCACCGGGCAGTCAACAGCAGCCGAACAAACTGACCATGTTGAGACAATATGAACTAGTCCCATTGAAAAATGCCCCTGCTGGATCTTGTGGTGACTGGCGACAACCACACACTCCCAAGCCGTTTGGACTTGGGGAGAGTTGACCTGTTGGATCTTGTTACACTAGGCAGGCAAGCCACTTTAACAAACGGTACAGTCCGATGTGTCTGGCAGGGTTTCTGGCCAAGTATCGTGGAGGGTAAGGTTTGAATGTTTTGTGGCATTGTGGTGGAGGATAGAGAGTCAGTAACAGAATAACACAACGGATGTGTCTTTGACATTCCTCCGTGTTCTGATGAATTTTTTGACAGCACACCCAAGAACGCTTCAAGAGGTCTGCCGGCTGACCATCCGCCAGGCCATCGGGAAGAGCCGGCTTCACCTCCTGGACACCCTCCCGCTGTCGGTCATCATGAGGAACTATCTCCGCTTCAAGTACGAGGATTTCTGCGGCTCGTGACCCTCTGTGGTTTATCTCCCTCTTGGAAACCGGCACAACATTGAACTCGGTTGATCTCGGAGGGGTCCCAGCGAGGTTGGGAATGTCAGGTCACGTTGAGTCCCCGTCCCCGTTGAATATTCTCCGGGTGCAAACAGTTTTGAGGTTTTTTTCTTTAAAAGGTAATGCCGAAGTGCGAGTGCACGTAGACATCTTGAATGTGCATGCATACAGCAAGGTTTGACAGTTTCTCATTTCAATGTATGTGGGAGCATTGCTTACCTGAACTTCACTGATTTAAGTTACCAAAAGAAAATTTTAAAATCCATGTATTTCACACCTAAAATAAGGCCCAAAATATGAATTGAACAAGAGGGCATTCAAATGTTTTGCGTTTTTAAACTACACACACCTGTAGTTGATGTGACCGTGCAGTTGAATTTTAAAAAGCAATTACGGATGTCTGAATTTTTTTTTAGCATAAGGAAAATTTTATTTTGATTCATATTGTAGTTTACCTTCTGTTGCAAATAAGGGGATAAGCGTGTGCTTGGCTGATCTTAAACATGCATTTAAGACGGGCTCAGGAGAATGGACGCGACTAATGCCTGAGCAGCAGACGAGGGCATTATCAGCATTCTGTCTCCTGAACCACTTCTAAATGTTAGTTTAGACCGGTCAAGCGCATGTTTATTCCCATTCGTAAATTCCCTTTTTAGTCAGAAAGTCAAAAGAAGTAAATATATGATGGATTTCCAGTGATTTTCTTCTAGAATTTTACTTTCATTTTCCTGAACACCCCTGTCCATTTCATGGAATATTCCTTGTGCAAATTGTCCAATTGGCACACGTGTGGTGAGCCGCGTGCACACAGACTCTTGACCTATCAGAATCAATTAAACTGTCTTGTATCCAGGTGCCAGCGTGTGATTTACTCAGCAGGCATTATCACTTCTGAGCAGGCATTATCAAGTGTTGATAAACGGTCAAGTTGCACGTGGTTGAATTGGGGGACTGTCTGTGGTATTTATGAATATCATTTTAAACACCCAAGACCATATTGACCCTTTTCTGTTAGTAGCATTGTATATAGAAATGCCAATCTTTAACAAATGGAGCAACTTGCATGTACAGATTATGTAATTGGTTACATTGTATTTCAGTCTAATGCCTAAATAAAGAGTGTTATAATCAACAGACTCTCAGAGACAAATTTGTAAAACTTCCTTGCTGACCCTTTGTTTCCCAGTAATGATGGAAATATTCACGTGCATAACTTCTGGATTTTAATAAAAGGATCAGGTGGCCCATGTAGGCTCATACTGCAGCGAAGCCTTTACGTTTACGGACTGGTTGATAGGAGTTGGTACCAGTCTGGTGCGGGTACCATGTTGTTGTTTTTCCCCCTTTAATTTAGTGGATTTCGTAAAAAACGATTCTGCATTAATTTAATCCAACTCCACAGCATATTGACCGTTGTGGATGATTCATGTTCAAGGTTTTATGAGGACCGTAGATGAGGTTTGAAGTCATCTCGGTGTGGAGATTTCCAGACACTTGGTGGCAGCAAACATGCCGTCCCTGTGGTTGCAGGCCAGTAAATAGGTATCAAGTTGCTTGCTGCCCCGACCAAATCACAAAATGCAAGCCGTCAATTTGTCTGCTGTTAGAGCATTTGCGCTTCGTGGACTAGATAGTTGTGTGAAAAGGAAGCGCGGAAAGCACTGCCAGTGTGTGTTACTGATTAAATGTCTGTTCATACTTCCCTCAAAAGCGAAAACAAACGCAATTTTGTGAGGGCAGATCAAATTATTGCGCTGCGAATTCGCAAAAGTTGAACATATTTCAACTCCAGCGAAATGTTGCTGCAAATTTTGTGACGTCAAATTTGCTTCGCTTTCACATCTGCATATAGTATAAACTGGCTGAAATTTTGACAAAACGGAGCATTCCAAATGGCTTTTTTGCAACGATTGTAGGCTTCAGGGTGGAAATATTTTCACAAGTCATCTTTTACGCATGCAAAAATTGAAAAGAGAAGGAAAGATGAGGAATGCAAGCTTTAATTTGATGGGTTTCTTCGGCAGCCGAGAAACCTTTTTCATTTCTTTTTATTCTTAATATCGTTATTTTTTAAGTTGGAGTATAATTGTTGGCTAATGTTGTCAATTCACTGGTGTACAACCTTCTGCGTCACGTTTAAGCTAATGTGCGCCACAAGGCCCGCATGGTTTATTGACGGCGAGATCTCCTGATATGATCCCTGAGACAAATCCGACCAGGTCTCAAGGATCGCGCCTCATTTTCCTGTTTATGATGGAATCGATTCTCTCAAGTGTGCGTTGGCCGGTACTCTGAGCTGAAATAATTATCGATCTGAACGATATTAATTTCGACGTACTAAATGGTCGAATGCACGTGGAAGACTAGTCATGTGCGGTAACCACGGAGTGTGATGTGTGAAATAAGGTTTGACTGTCACGGAACCGCCCTGAGTAGAAGCACCCCCTCATCGGTTAAAAAGATCAATGTTGGTCGGAAGAGTTCATTTTGATGGTAGTAATGTGGCTGCAGTTTTTGCGCTTCACTGATAGTCGTTCGTAAACCAGCGATACACAGTTACTACCAAAGAGCCTCTCTTGCTAAGAAATTGCACCCTCTCTTTGTGCAGCTCGAATATACTCTTTGCTCGACGCCCATAGTTTGGGCACAAACGGTTGGCCAAATTAGGACTTAAGTTCTTCGAACACACCGCAAACGGAACGATTTTACTGATATTGCATGGATTGCGTGAAAAGTTTTCGTGGTTTTTTTTGTTCTTTTCTTTTTTAGTATATCTCTTGTAATTGATCCAAATTCAAGCAACTTTCAAAAACCTCCTATACCAGAGTCAGTTTTCGGAATTTCTTTGACACAGTTGTGACTCAGAAAGGGTTGTTTGAAGGATAATTATATTCGATGATTAATTTTTGCTTCACCGTATCATAGCGCCTGTTGCCGCGCAACCCTCTTGCAATTAGACCTGCCGAAAGAAATCTGTCGATCGACCAGTTGCCTTGGAGTCTCAAGTTGGGACCAGTGATGTATGCCTCCTAATTGCGACTTGATTTCTCTTTCGTGTTCTGTTTATTGTTTCCTATCGATTCGTAATGACCAAACCTCGATATTCAGGCAACTTGAGCGTAAAGATGGTTACCGCTTGCTCCGATTAAGTACCGTGGCCACTTCCACCTGCGTGGTGTTCAATGCAGTGCAGTGTTCATTTTAGTGACTGTGGTTGTGTTGAAAATGAGGAGTCCTTTGGTGTTGATCACTCTGGCTGTTTTCCTTTCCTTTTCGGCGGGAGAAAGACCAGCAAACGCCTGTATTAAGTATGTGGAAAATTTCGATTTATTCGGTGCCGAAAGCCGAGTGCTGGGCGGTTTTGTCTTTCGAGGTGAAAGCGCCGTGTCCCGTGTCGCATGCGCCAGAGATTGTGCGGCCGAGAAACAGTGTTTGTCGATCAACTACTTAGAAAAGGAGCATCGGTGTGAGTTGAATAATAGTACGAGGATCCAGTCTAAAGAGAACTTTACTGTGTTGCAGGGAAGTTTCTACATGGACGTCGAGAAAAACACGGGTCTTTTAACAGCTGACGGTGACCAACGAGCAGTCGTCCCCTTGGAACTGGCGTCATGTAAGGAGCTGCTGAACGCCTCCCCTGGTCCTCAGCCCAGCGGGGTCTACACCATCCACCCCCATGATGGAACGATGACCGGCGAGAGGCTGCAGGTCTACTGCGACATGCAGAGCGACGGAGGGGGCTGGATCGTGTTCCAGAGCCGGAGCGACGGCTCGGTGGAGTTCTACCGTTCGTGGGCCGACTACCGGGCGGGCTTCGGCGACCTGTCCGGGGAGTTCTGGCTAGGGAATGACATTCTCCGCGCGCTGACCGAGGCTCGGCCGGCCGGAATAGCATGGGAGCTGAGAATCGACATGGAAGACTGGACTGGGGTGAGCGCCTGGGCCGGGTACACCAACTTCAGGATCACGGGGAGCGAGTACATCCTGAAAGTCGATAACTTCATCCTTGAGAGTACAGCAGGCGACTCCCTCCTCAAATCACATGACAGGCAGCCATTCTCCACACCTGATCGCGACAACGACAACAATTTCCTCAGCTGTTGTCAACTGAACGGAGGGGCCTGGTGGTACAACAACTGTCACGATTCAAACCTCAACGGAGTCTATCAGAACGACCCACTAGCCCTATATAATCAAGGCATCCAGTGGGTTAGTTGGAAGGGAAATTCGTATTCCTTAAAGAAATGCACCATGAAGATACGAGAAATGAATTAGCCATCATGGACAGCGCTTGACAAATGATTGGCGAACGTTCTTTACAGACGGCCGGCGGGAATCGAATCGTGCACTGTTTTGATCTTTTCGTAAGTATTTTGTGTGCTGCAAATTCAACGACTGCAGAGATCGCGTTCACTAGGAAAACGTATGACGTCAACACGACCGATCAACACTTGCGGCCAATAATCGTGATGTGACTTGTAAGTTGACTTGTTGGAAGTCTGTAATCAGTCGGATTTTTGGACAATGTTTTCGCAGCAAGTCGTCAACTTTAGGCCTATACAGCGTGTGAGCGTGTCTGGGTTTTCACAGCAGCAACGCCCCACTGTGTCAGAACAAATCAAAAACATCTCATCTGGTATCAGCTGAAATTAGTCTCTTCAGTTCCACTGCACGAATCTGAAACACACATTATAATTTGTTTTACACAACGCCTGATTTATCCCAACATCACCATGTAAAATCCCAAGCTGGCAAAAACTCTTTGCATCGTCAATACATTGCCACTATGTAGCTGAACCCTGCACTGGAACTTCCGTTTACTGTGGAATGGAACTTCTAATTTTGCAGTGCGGCTGTGCCGTGCGTTGGAGAATAATGTGTGGGGAATATTCATTAAAATTGTTCTGGACTAAAACGTGTTAAACGGATGTGAAGAATATTTATAGAACGGACCAAAAATGGTACACATGAAAAGACTCGCCACCTTTTCCACGTTGTATTGCAAGTAACTACGGCGGCCCCATTCACTCTCATAGGCTAAAGTTTGGGAACGAGCACATGTTTGGCGCGTCCTGACACTCATAAGGAGGCCTATAATGGCCACCCATACAACCTATTTACAGTTTTTGCATTTCGGAGTTTTTATGTATAATATTATTCAGGAAATGTGTGATGTCGCCAAGGAAAGAAACCTCAAAGTGACAGTTCTTTATGCATCGGAAATAGTAAGACTCTAATAAGAGTCTTACTATTTGTAAGTGAAGTGAATAGAATATAGATTAATTTCAGTACAACGTGGTAACCTGGGGGTCGGTTGTAATGACGCGTTTCTCTGCAAAACAAAGCACTGGCTGAAACACACAAAATAGGGAATATTTGAGACAAAAAGGCGCATTTGTAATCATCCTTTTTTGGCTTTATGTCTTAAGAGATAACAATAACGTAGCCCAATACTCTGTTACCACATCCCACAAAATAAACAATTATCAAAATAACTATTTGCGTAAAAATACATGCAACTAGGCCTAAATGGAATGTGATATGTAATTATGATATAAAATAGACGTCTTAAGTTTGTGTTTCAAATAGTTTTTCAAAAATTATAGAAGTGAAGCACCTTGAAGTTAATCATTACTGTCATAGATTTCATCTCCGTAGAGTTTAATTTTGGCTGTTTTATTGACCAGAGCTGAATGGATTTATTTGCCTCCTTTCAAAATTGGGGACAGGCAACGCAGACAAAGCAATCGATTACTGATGTGTCACGTGCACTGTGTGACAGCTGGGTAAATTTTAGTTTTCTCTCGTTGACATTCTTTCAGCCAATAGCGCCAAAACAGTTGTACCTCGCAGCCTCTGTATTTGTAGGTACACACTGGTGGTGTCAAACACCTGTTGCATGAATAGTACTGGATGGCGAGGGACACAATTAGCCGAAGTGGACAAAAGAACCGGTTTGAGATCTATAATCATCGCCGGTACACAGACGGCAGGTTGTTTTATAGTACAGAATTTTAGAGAAACTATAGAGTAAATCAATGCACGTTGTTATGTTGAAAGTGTGAAGATTATTTCTCCAATTTATATGCTAGTAAAGGCCTTATTGTGAGATGGTCTCTCAATAAATGGATCATGATCAGAACTTGTTTGGGCGTTGATTATTGTGTAGTAAAGATTCTTGTTATTATGTTGTGCATCGTATGTTGTCAATATAATTCTAAAAATGTCTCGTATAGGCATAGGCCTACCCAGCCAACACGCATGCTTGTTTTTTCATTTAAAAGATGATTTTCTGCATTGTGCATAGGACCATTTTATACATAGAGAAAACTTCTGTGTGACGATTAGACGACGCGACGGAATATACTTGTTTGAGTGAGGACCAGGCAGAGGTCGATACCTGTTTGAGAGCTACGACAAGTTCAGAGTTGTGATCCAACACTGGTTCACTGACTCCAGAACCCACCCAATTGGTAGCGTAAACCAGTTCTGGGGTCACTGATTGAGATCCAGATCCATATAAAGTAAACAGATTAGATGACTTTTTCCACACGAAACAACATGTCACTTTAGAGCGTCATCTTGTGGAACACGCGCATCGCACCTCAACAGTGCCATATAAGGAAGCATGCCTCGGCCTCACACCATCGACAAGGCGAGAGTGATGCTTCACATAACAAAAGGTAAATGAACAAAATCATAAGAACAAAATAACGTGGATTTTTTATTCATCTTACTTTTCACCCCAAAAGCTATTCGTGAATGGGATTGAAATTTTGATGGGCTTTGTGATAATATGTGTGTAATTAGATGATAACGGATGCCACCTGCCTATTAGTTTAAAGGGCCCCATCACACTTTTATTCCCTCACTGAAAGACTGAAAGTTGATACTTTAAAAGTGTTACGAGCCTAGCTACCGTACTCACAATCGAATTCTGCATAACCTTTGACATTTCTTGCATAATGCAACGGTTCTTTTTAAAGACATAACTATCAAACTTCAGATCGATACGAACTTTTAACTTTAGTGCAGACTTGCGACTACAGACCTTTGTCAACCTCTTCTTCCCGAGCAGAACAATGGAAGTATCTGCTAGCAATGTAAGACTTGGAGTGTATTAAAGCTACACCTAAAATTAATCTACATTTAATTATTCAGATATTAAACTTAGTAAATCCTATATACTGTACTATAAATTGGTACCGGTAGTTGATTACACTTAACTCTAATGCAAAAAGTCTACTAGAAAAGAAATTTCAGTCATATTATGTGCTTCCTCTCATCGAGAAATTACAGAAAACCATCTAATTACCAGATTTTCGTCTCGAAATTTCTCGGTATGGAAAGCAGCCCAAACAGCAGCGTGGCTAAGGGGCGCGTATGCCTCCCCCATGAAAATTTTCGACCCCCAGTCGCCCCCCCCTTACATTGTGGAAACGGATGTACATGTATAATCATGCCCAACATCCAATCACCGCCCCCTCCCTCCGCCGCTTTGGCGTGAAGCCCCCCGCTCGTCCCCTGTGTTCAGAATTCTGGCTACGCTGCTGAGCCAAAATCAAAGATCGTATAGCGCCGCGTAGCGGTGCAAAACGGAGAACTTCACCGCGAATACACGTAAAATATTGTAATCGCATAGGCGCCATTTGAGCAAGCGACACACCTGCGCAATGCACGTTACTGCTTAGGCGCAGGCACCGCGGCAGGCACTTGTACCTGGTGAGCCTGCGCCCAAGCATTACCGTAAACTGCGCAGGCATATCGCTTGCTCAAATGGCGCCCATGGTAATTACACCTTTAGGCAGAGTTATCCATCTTGCGCCTTTGGCGCTATATGATCTTTGGCCAAAATCCATGACATAGCAGCGACATATTTCATTGCTGTTCAAAAGTAAATGTTCTGCACAAACTGCAAGTAGGCCAGTAACTGCATACAGTTTACAACAAAATTATTCATACCCGTTTATAAATTTTAGGCTTTTTGTGTTTTTGTAGAGAATGAAAGATGGGCACATAATATTTGGGCCATAGTTAAATACTTTTAATTGTCTGGTACAAAAGACCAATGGCTGTGGTTTCACCTCATTTGCATAACAAAGAGAATGCTATATTGATTAAATTTTGACATGCTCAGCAGTACCCTTCTGCACGTCATGGTATTTGGCCACATTCCTCCGAAATGCGCATGCTCCAGACATTCCTAATATTCTGCATGTTGTTTTGAATAAATTCAGCAATGCATATTTCCTCTAGGGGTATGTTAAGAATTTCATCTATTGCAAATGATTTGTGGATTTTCATTGTCAATACTCTGCTTCTAGAGTGCAATCGTAGAGTCTTCCTCAGTTTTTGCGAACATGGCGAAAACTACGGAATTCAGCGATGATCTCCGCATGAGCATTGTGAATGCCCACAAAGATGGGAAAGACTACAAAACCATTTTTAAGCTCTTCACAGTACCAATTTCCACTGTACAGTCCATCTTGAAAAAGTACAAGAAGTTCAGTACTGTAAAAAAAAAATCTGCAAGCGTGGACGGAAGTGGAAAGGTGTCTCCGTGTCTGGTTGGAAAAGTGTGCCGCGAGGCCCTTTCCAACCCCAGAACATCAATCAAGGCACTTCAGGACAATATTGGGTGAAATGGGCACCAAGGTTTCAACGCAGACATTCCGCTGCACACTGCACAACGAAGGGCTACATGGGCGTCGTCCGTGAAAGACCCCTCTCTTCATTCACAGGTGGAAAGCTTGACTGGCATTTGCAAGAGGGCACCAAGACGAGGATCAAAGTTTCTGGTCATGTTTTGTTCTATGATCAGACGAGACGAAAATGGAGCTCTTTGGCCACAGGGATGTTTCCTTCGTTTGGCGCAAGAAAGGTGAAGCATTCAACCCAATGTGCCGACCGTGAAGTTTGGAAGTGGGAGCATCATGTTGTGAGGTTGTTTCTCTGCAAGTGGGCCTGACAATGTCGCAAAAGTAATAGGAATTATTACGAAGGAACAGTACATCCAGAGTCTGCAGGACAATGTCAAGCAGTTTGCAGAAAATCTATATCTCAGACCAAACTGGATATACCAACAAGACAATGATCCCCTAAACGTAAGGCAATGGCAGTCAAGAAATGGTTCCAGGATAACAACGTGGAGGTGCTACCATAACTAAGCCAAAGCCCAGACCTTAATTTCATCGAAAACCTGTGGAAAACCCGCAAGTCCAAGGTACATGCCCGCAGGCCCTCCAACCTGAAAGAGCTAAAGGTCTTCCCCAAGGAAGAGTGGGCCAAGATTCCCGTGGAGCTGTGCCAAACCCTCGTGAACAGCTACACAAAAACAACCTAGATGGTGTAATCAAGAACAAGGGTTTTGGAATTGACTATTAACCGTGATATTAGCTCTTATTGATAAAGGTATGAATAATTCTGAGCATGTCAGAAACTAAACAATGAAGCACTCTCTGTTATGCAAATGAGGTAAAACCAAAGCCATTTAGTTTTGTTGTTAATTGTATATTCGTTTATTGCTTTCATTTGATTCGTGCACGATATTTTTATTTCCTAAATCAGATCCTCAAGTCTGCAACTATGGCTATGGCTTCGCATTGAATTCGAAGCCACTACATATACATGTAGGCCTACTGCAGTGGCAGCACGCCGACACCTAGGTGGTACACACGCACCAACCGCTTCGACCAATAGGGTGATCAATAGGGTCCACATGTCCTACTTAAAATTCACGTGTGTGAAATTGGTGCCACCCAATAAGTAATGGTGGCTCTTCAGATTAGTCTATTGAAACTTGGAAACAAGGCAAATCATTCGTCAGTTTGCAAGTTTAAGTGCTACGGTAACACTCACTTCGCAATTTCATTGTGGGGCCGGTATTAGGAAAAGAAGAAAATAGCAATCAGGATCAGTTCACGGTTTATCGATTGTCGGTTTGTTTAGTTGGCGAAAAGGAGAAAACCACTGAACGAGGTATAGTGTTGGACTGACTCGCTCCAGGCCCTACCTCTCATGGTCAGATAAACCGTGTCTCCGCTCTGCAGACCCAACAATGCACCTCCAGACGCTTGGCCATCAGTGGGGCTATAGCTTGAGACGATCCATTCGTCGTTCTTCCTGAGATGGACGTCAATGAAGGAGCTGTCAGAATTCGTGAGGACATAAAACATAAACGCGTAGGTGCCCGGCACATCACAAGCGAATGTGCCAGTCGCTAAATCGAAGCTGGTACCCGGCAAAAGCGTCTCGGCCTCCTCGAAGGCCAAACGGGTGTTGTCGCTCGTAGAGATGTCCGAGGAGGTCGTCCTTCTCACTGTGAATGCTACCCGGTGGGTGGAGGCATCTGGAGACTCCCCCGCCTCACCCTTTTGACCTTTAATACCAGCTTCCCCAGGTAGGCCACCCAGACCAGGTTGTCCTACTGGACCTGACAAAAATAAAAATCGTAACAATAATTAGTATTCAGGGCTATATGGCGCTTTATTACTCAGGTACCAAAGTACTTCACAATAATAGGCACGAGATTGGCTATCCTGCTGTTATTTATGAGGCATGAGAGAAGTTTTTCCACGGTAGACACTGACTGAATGGTTATCCACCCTCCCAGGTACCTAGTTATACCTCTAGGTGGAGAGAGATAATCGTGGTCAAGTGTCCAACTCAAAAAACCCGTTCTTACTCAAGATCACTGTATGAATGAATCTTAAGCTACCGTGAACTGAATATCCCTCCAATATCCAAGAGACTGGTGCAATTGCCCTCAATTTTGGCGAGTGTATTCTTAGTTCAAACAGAATTGGAGACTGGTTTCAACGAACAACCATCAATAATTAAAGAAATTCCAGCCAGTTGACAACAGTTAGATGTAGACTGATGTCGACTGTACATTGCACTGATTCTGTGCCAAGGGAAAGGACGTTAGCAATCCAGGCATGTAAATATTAATTTTTGAGATAATCGAACGTTTTGGGCCTCCCATTTGTAAATAGAACATCACATGAGGCTGAATTTTAGAGAGATGAATATCGGTTGATGGTAAAAATAAGATTAAACTTTTTATCGAAAATAACTTTATTTGTAACTGTAATTTACGTTTTATGCTCACGACCTTGTGCCGGGAACTCCTTGTGCCTAAAATGTATACTAAAGCAGCATGCAACAACCCCAACGATCTTTTGCCGGAAATAGATTTTGACTGCGTCAACACTTCAGTGGGACTCTAGCGCATGTTTTGTTACATTAGTATTATGTGGAAACTTCCTTATTCCGAGCAACAGTAATTTTAAAACCGCCTACCATCCTTTTCATTCTGTTAATTACGTCAGAATGACGTAGCCCCTTGAACCAACATGTATACCAAATTAAAGATATTTCAAAGTTCTATCAATTTCCATAAAACCTAAATTTGACCTTTTGACCTATTTTTCACCCTTACGACCTTTTTACTCGTATTTTGGTTGTAACCAACATACTGAATAAGCAGGCATTTTCCAGTTTGTTTTGTTTCTATCTTTTTTCTCATTTTATTCTTCATTTCATCTTGATGTAGCTCTTCACTATTCGCTATTCTGTGTAAGAATTAATGTATTGTACAATTCAACCTCTATAGGTTGCCGACCTGTGCATTTCAAATGCCTGTAAAGGGGATACCTCCCCCCAAATAACAACAATAAAAAGAACCGTTCAAAAACCACAGCCACAAGGCCACAGCGTACTTTTCCCTACAATCAGACCTATTCCATCTTCCCCTTTAGGCCCAGGGTCTCTGGGGGTCCCCGCTCACCCACAGCACCTATCTCACCGTTTGACCTAACTCACCTGCGTCTCCTCTGGGCCCTCTGGGTCCACAACCACCCGGGCTACCTGGCAAGCCTGGTATGCCAGGCAACCCCGCAGGGGGTCCCTGGCAACACGCTGAACACCCCTGAGACTCAGGAACATCCGTTTCGGGGCCAACCGGCGCAGGAGTTTGAGCTCGGAGTTTGCCACAGTTACGTAGAAGGATTGCAATCGAAAAAATGGTCGCAAAATGCCTTTGCATCTGCATATAATAATAGTACACAGAACAATAAAATTAAAATAAAATGAATCAGTTTACAAATGGATTAATAAATCCAATAAAACAGCAAGCGAAAAAAGTGAAGTAAGCAAGCGAAAAAACCGAATCTTATATTGCGCAAGAAAGATGAATGCCTCAAATTTTCAAGGGAGTGGGGCGCCACAGATTTTTTTCTGAACACTATGTAAAAATATACAAAATAAGTCCGTGTCGCATTCAAACAAAAGACAAACATTGGATTTTGTGTCCTTGTGAAAAGTGAGCTTCTATTTCCATCTTCCCATCACCACAAAACTCCTTTTTTTAAGCGAACAACGAGTTATGATTGAAAACATATCCCGACACAGTTCCATTTATGCTTGAGGCTCAGCCGGCAGAGGCTTGTGCTCAATAACGGATTGAGCGTGGTGAGCCCTCTCATGAATCGACGGTTAGACCAGCGTGCTGCTTGAACTGACGTCTTAGGAATCTCGCACGTGTGGTTTAACCTTGCCTTCCTTTCTCCCCCGGACTTTCCTAGAGAACCAATCAGCGACTGGTGATCATGCACGCTCAATACAGCCTCGTTCCCATGGGTACGAGCTTGCCGTGCCATGTTGGTTCCTACCATTGATTTCCATTATAAAGACAGAGGTCAATGGTTCCTACCATGCCTTGCACGATCATAACCGGTGGTATATTGCATAATTTGGGATATTTAAATTAGGACCGGTTGCAAATGCACGATTTGCAAAGACAGCACCATGCAAGATCGAGACATTTCCTGTCTAAAGTGTTCATCCTACGTGACCTGTGCAAGTATAAATGCTTAATCCCTTCTGGAAATGTAGCGGAAACTAGTTTTTTAAGTAAATATGGAGTGTAAATGCAGAGATATCGTCACGAACTCGCACAGATCATTGTTATAATTTTTCACTCCAAAAAAATAAACAGCCAAGGTGTACATTTGTGAAAGTAAAGGTACTTGTCCCAAACCTTGGGTGAGCCTAAAGTTGGTGTTTCTAAAAAGAAAAATGGCTCTCACCTTGAAGAGTCTCCTTCACATCTGGGTTTTAAGATGAAATCTGGAAGCTGACGTTGAGCTGTTTTCTTCGAACTTGGGGTCGACTTCCACACATAGAGGAAACAGAATGGACAGTGGTTGGAGGTAATTATTCAGCGCTCTGCCTCAGCAGTCATGGATCATAATGACACTTTGCATTGCAAAACATTCTGCGTGGTTCGTTTCAAGTGAATCCAAACATGTTGCATTATTGTGATGTCATATGACAAAGCCATTTGTCACGAGATTTCACTTAAATTGCCTCTTCCGTTTAATGGCGCTTTTATGAAAACGAGCAAAAATAATTTTCCGTATATTTAAAAACAGAAAGACAAAACCTTTCAGAAACAGCTCGGTATTTGTCATGTGACAAGCACGACTTTTTTCCTTCTTGTTTGACTTTTTCATTTAATATACAAGTACTTATCTCATACAAACAGACATAAAACCAAATTTTCTGAAGACGCTGATTCGGATAACCACAGAATTTGCCCCTCAGGCTGGGCTTCAAACTTCTGGAACTTGAGAGCAAAGCAACGGAGCCTTACTTGAAATCACGAATTCGAGGTTTTTTTTTCCAAAAATACCGATGTGTTCAACACTCACCTGGTAATCTCTTGCTTCCAACCTTCTATTTTAGTGTGTTGCTAGCTGAAGGTGAGCGGTGATCGTTCTGAGGAGCGCGGGGGCCGCTCGTGCCTATAATTGGCCAGCTATTTTTTTGAGCAGTGACTGGTGAACTTGATCCACGATTTATGATTCGCCCCTGTACGCTATCTCTCCCACGCATCACCAACTCACGTCATATTGGTCGAATCTTATTGGTGGATATTGGCTAGACATGTTATTGCCAAAACACGTGATATATCTCACTGGCACAGACAAATGTGTTCATTTTTAACAGAGCAAGTCAAGATCAAATACCCGAGTCACGTCGTCCCCGGTCGGCCCTCGTACGAGTCATCCCGTACCCACTGCAAACAGAAGTTAGCTGCTATCACGAGAAGGTTCCTGACCTCCCTGTTGGGCGGAAATCAAGGAAATTTATTACGTTGAGATACACGTTGATCAAAGACACAGTGGAAAAGTAACCGATCCGGAAGACAGTAATTAGACATTGAAAAGGCGTGTTTGAGACACGCAGGGTTTACCAACTTTCGGTTAAACCGATCAAAATTCGTAGTCGAGTCGACGAGAACCCCAAACTGATCAGCTCTTGCTCGAGTCATCTCAAACATGCAACGGCTGATTATATCACAACTTTATTTATCAGGTGACACACGTTCCTGTTTTTTTTCCGAGGAAGCACCTTTGTTCTGCTTCCGAGACAATCTTTGTCACCTCTGAAGCCCGATGAGTCGATGGTCTTCTGTGGCGTGGCTACGGGGGGGAAGGGGAGCGCAGAGTTCCCGCAAGAGAGAATTCCCCCCACCCACGTGACGTGGCCATGTTCTTCTCAGCGGGGCGCAAGGAGCACAGGGGAAGTTGTCCCCTTTCCCTCCCCCGCTACGCCACTCTTTGTACCCTCGTTGATTTACCTTTTAAACAAAGAGAATTGTTTTAATTATGAATCGGACTTTATGAAAGCATACGCCTTAATGTTTGCGTTTCTCGTTAGATCTGCAATAATTAGTTAGGCCTATTAATGGATGTATCTGCTTGTGTAACTGAAATGTGTGTACAAGGAGAATTATTTCACAATTGCATGAAATTTGGGGACCTTTTTTTACCTTAACCAGCAACATTGTAAATAAAAACCCTACGAGCACGATGTTATCCCCTTGATTTTTTCGGTAGTAGAATTTCAAACCAATTCAAAGACAACAAAAGCATATTTAGGACTTTAGTTTCGTCCTGAACCATCATTTCAAGCAGAAGGCCACAGTTTTATGTGGTGACAACAATATCGGACCAAGGGTAGTGTAAACGGACTTTGGAAACAATGCATGGAGAGTCTCAGTCTACAAACTCGTCTACAAACTTGTACGTCTTGGCACGTCAAAACTTCAGTAAGTATAGCCCCAGCTATCAACAAACTATCAAACCACGTCCAACGAAATAAAAGCATTGGGCCTCAATATGGTGCATTACTTTTAGGGAAGTCCTTTAAAGAATGTCTCCCTAATGTGTTTTATTTACTATCCGAAAAGCTCTACCCTGGCTCCCTAAAATCACATTTGATATTATTTGTGCGCAGCAAAAATGACTGAAGAAAACACGAATTAGCCATCATCGAAACACCGGATGGGACGCAGATCGATCCCGAGTCGACCTTAACACGGTCCACCCCGACTTTTCGCTGATGACCTGGCCATCGGTGCGTTACACAAGCAGCGGTGATCAATTTTTCTTTTCCTTCCTCATTGCTGAAAAAATATTCTCACTTCACGTTATTCGTTTAATCAAAATTGATCAAGATAACCAATGATTTAAAGTATATCGCCAAAAGACACGTGATCAGTGACACTAAGTGAGAAGATTACCACAATGTTATTGTGCCAAAGCCACGTTTTTATCATACAGCTAACACTTTGCCCTTACTAGAGCCTTGTCATTGGTAAACCAAAAAATTTAAGTAACGCCTCGCTTCGCTAGCAGAAAGTAGTAACCTCTTGGTCGTGGACAATGTAGCCAACCACGGTGCAAAGCCGTCAGCTGGACGACGAGCGAACCCCGGCAGAATTACCTCGTGTCAACTCACCCAACAGCTGTACTGCGTTCGTGACCATCTCATGTCATCACCTACAGTCCACTGACTCGATGTCATTTAGGCTTCGGGTTCCTGAAGTTCACTTCTATCAGAAAAAACGGCTACACTTTTGAAGAACTGTTATTTTTAAAGGTCTGGTTACGGAACCAAAATGTTATGCCCTCTGTACAAATTTGCGAGGATGCCTAAACGTGGAAAAAAAAGCTGCAGAGTAGTCCCGAGAATTCGACAAGGTGCACGTGCGAGTGGCCCTTTCTTGAGCGATAAGCACAGCGTTCAATTTATTTGCAGTGCGCGCCCAAACATTGTTACAGTAATTTAGATATGGAAGAATAAGAGAGCTGTAAAGTAAGACCAAAGAGGGTCGTAGGAAGAAAGAAACGTAGTTTAGACCATGCTGAGACTATCAGAGAAGCAAGGTCACGGCTGGAATGAAAGATGGTCGTATCATCAGCGAAAAGAGTCACTGACAATATAGGTAATGTTTGAGGCAAAATTTCACGTTTTGTACCATTCTATTTTGCTTGAAGTCTTGAGAAATACCAACAAGTTAATACATGTACTCTGGAACCACATCAAACAAAATAGACAGCCAAGAAATAAGGGTTTGAAAACGTGAGCAAAATATCATTATACCTATATATTTGCGCAAAAACTTGAACATATGTGAGTGAATGAAATGTGATATACAATTACGTTGTGAGACAGACGAGATTGTGTTTTAAATAATTGGTCAGAAATTACATTAGTGAAACACCTTGAGAAGGTTTCTCACTCTTCCGTGAATTCATCAACGTCATTTATCATGTAGAGTTCCTTCAGGTTGCTTGAAGTTATTCACTTTCATTGATTCAATCTTGGTAGATTTTAATTTTGGCTGTTTTATCGCACTGAACTGAAAGGATTGGCTTGCCTAATAACCTCTTTTAAAACTTGTGGACATGCGCTATGCAATGCACACAAAACAATCGATTACTGTGTCACGTGCACTGTGTGACAGCTGGGTAAATTTTCGTTTCTTGAGTCCTTGACATTTTCTCCATTGCCCAAAACAGTTGTGACTCTTATCATAGAGCTCTATGCTCTTATCCCGTGTATTCGACGAGTACAGACACTAGCGGTGTCAAACACCTGTTGCGTGAACAGTGCTAGATGGCGAGGGACAAAGTTAGCCAACGAGTGGACCGAACAACCATTTTGAAATCTATAGGCCTAATCATTGCCAGTGCACAGACGGCAGGTTGTTTAATAGTACAGATTTCTTTAGAGAAACCATGGAGTAAAGAAATGCACGTTGCTATGCTGACAGTGTGAACTTTGTTTCTTCAGTTTATATGTTAGTACAGGGCTTACTTGTTTTGGTCTTGATAATGCAGTAAAGATCTTTGTTATTATGTTGTGCATCGTATGTTTTCAACGTAATTCTAAAACTTTTTTTTTAGGTATACGTAGCCAACACGCATGTGAGGGTTTTTCTTTGATAAGTTTTGTGCATGTGTAGGGTGTTTTATACACAGAGAAAACTTCTGCAGAAAGTGGATAGAGACAGTCAAAAGAATACACTTCCAAAGATGTACGTCGGGGAGATGTTAATTTTTAATAGTGGGTTTTGCCCTTGCATGACGAACTACATTGATCAGTGTGAGGGCTGCCCTTACACTGACGAACTACATTTGTTAGTGTGAGGGCAAGGTAGAGGCCGATATATGTGTAGAAAGCTGCGACAAGTTCCGATTAGAAGCCAGGTTTGTTCCAGATGCTTTAGATGCCTGTTTCCGCCCCGAGAATTCGTCGTTAATGTTCCCTCGAAGCACTACGGCATTTAGAGCCGACTTCTGATAGAGGTCAAGTATAACCTGGATTATAACGCACAACAGTATTAACAAAACGGTCGAGGTATATGACGCATAATATACGATGCTGCATCATATTGCAGGCTGAGCCTCGCAATCCACGCACCACTGCATAGATTGCGACGTGCCTAATGAATAATCAGACCCCCCTGCTCTGCATAATTGTATCATTAAACCGTCGCTATGAGTTATTGATCGGTTAGAAAACAATCATTAAGGGACTGGACGTGCGGCTTTGTTCTAAAGTCTAGAGCTGCTTGATGATTCAGGGCCAACGATGACTAGGCTTTGCATATTTTGTTTACTGATCGCACGCACGATTTGGAGTTCAGTGTAGAAAATGATAGAGCAGCTCAGATAGTGACGAAAGTTTAAAAGCAAGGACGGATCCTTAATTGTTTTGTACAGGGACAAAGCTTGTTTCCTGCGGGAGCGAGGCAAAAAGTTAGGATTTTTTCAAGTAAACATGAACTTTCTGAAGGGTGAGGCTAAATACATTGAGCTTTTTACACGCTTAATGAAGGGAGGGAAGTGAAAATGTCAAAACGACGACGAATGGGCGCCTTTGGGGATATAACCCCCCCCCAAGATCCGCCCATTGGAGCACAAACACCAAAACGAAGTTGAGGTTTGAGAAATTACCCACGGCAAACTTCACCATGTCGTTAAAGTTGTTCTGAAAAAGGGACTTGCATGAAAATCCAGATTAGCTCTCAGTGCATAAACCGTCCCAAACTCACAACTATAATGACATCTTTTCTAGCTAAGTGCCATTGAGTTGCCGCGTTTGGCAGACGGAAGAGTACTATTTCAAGGGGGGAATGTTGAAAAGCTAAAGGACATGGCAAACACTGCATTTTAACACCCGGTTAGCAAGCGCACCACTGATTTTAGAAGCTTTCATCGGATGAACACTCAAGTTGCCTTATAATTCCTATTCACACTTACAAGCCAGGAATCCCGATATTACGTCACACATTTTCACCCTTGGCTTTAACCCAGGTTACCCAGCGAAAGATAGAGGGTTGTGTTTGGGTGCATTTGACCATGGTTCGAATAGCTTCCACGATTTAACCTTGTTTGACACAGTACAATACAACCATCCCTCACTCGCGTTCGCTTCATCTAATCGAACGCACCCAGTGTTGTGACACACAACCATTGTATGTCAAAAAGGGGCCTTTCTCTGTAGTCATACATGCGAGCAAAATATTAAATTAAACTAATTGAAAAAAAGGTGTGTGGTGCGGTAAAAAGAAATGCAGTATCCAAATATGCGATGAAATGAAGAGAGAGAAAACTTTCAATCTAATGGCACGTTTACGAAGGCGCTAGAAATGTTGTGATCTCTTTATAGATCTATTACGATGGCCGATGTCGCTTCAAGGCCACCATTGAAAGCCAGTTCGGAGGACGTAAATAGTATGCAAGCTTCGCGCCTTGCTGGACTGCGCTTGAGAAGTCGATGACGCTTCGAAGCCCCCCCCCCGGTATTCTCCAGATGTACAGATTTCCCCCGCCCACGTCATTGCTATACAGTCTTTGTTTAATCAGCGTCCCTGTTGTATGAATGACGTCCTCTTGTGGACAGCCGTTGTTTTTACACGCGTCGGGCTTCAGCTGAAGAGGATCACTTTCGTTTCTGGAGTTGAGTGGAAAACCATCTGTGCACTTTGTCAGTTGTAACCGGTGGGCAACAATGGTGACAGTGAATTTGAAACTCCCAGTATGGGTGGCCGTTGTGTGCAGTCTTCACGCGATGAGGTAAGCGGGTTTAGATGTTTCTATTTCATGTCAACCTTCTAAGTCCTGTAATTAAAAGAAATATCAAGCCATGCAGGTCCTCTTCTAAAGCAGGAATATCGGCCTTATGTCTCTAACGAGTCATGTTCCATTGTTCGGGAGAATTAAGAGAACAAATAGGGTCGAGTCTGGTTGATAAGAGCACTGTTGATACAATTTGTTCATATCACGTAAATGTTTACGTTCCAATCCTTTCTTCGTCATTGTTTTCATTCCTGGTAATACAAGGTTTCTGTTGTGAAAAGGGAATTATTAATGAGGTTCGTCCGAAGATGACTCTAATGGTGTGAATTGACAAACTGGTATGGAAGCGGTCACAGTGGTTTCAAATATCAACATGTACTGTCATAATGATCATCGGTCCGTTCGGTCAATTGCAGGCCAGTGGTAATAGCTTAATACGTCCACGAGTTCGATATTTACGTTGAAATGAAGAATGATTTTGTCCTGTTTTGCTTGGACCCCTATTTCACAGGGTTACTGAGAGGTCATATTCTTCTCGTACGAAGACTAGCTCCGTAAACCAAAAGAGATCGGACGCCGTCGATTCAACACTTGCATTATAATTGCACGTCTACCACGTCCCATACTTACTCGACAATAATACGCATCAGTAATGCAAACATTGGGAGTGCTGTATAATTCTCACGCTCGTTAAAAGCTCCTCGGAATTCACTTGCAATGAAAACTTTGTCACACAGCGTGTCCCCACTCCCGAAAAATGACACAAGTAAATGTCAACTGGCGTTATTTATAACAAATGCTTTTAAGAGGGCAAAGCTATAGCTTGGTGACACTTTTCATTTCATGTTAATTGCTTCTGGTGATCCAGAGATAGGCCCCAAAAAGGCTGTAAAAAAGGCCTTTCCCTCAGCATGTTTCAGTGCACTGCGCTTATTTCAATTGCTTGTTTCTCTATAGCGATCAGACCTAAAAGTGACACAAACTGAAATTTGATTGCCATTGGTAATGTAAAGTTTAACCCTAAAAGAACTGCGGGGCGGAATCCGCCCCACCATTTTTTCTCGATATCTCCGCAGTGAGTAGAGTCTTTTGGAGTTTTCAGAGTAACTCTGTGTGGCCATTTGGGTCCTAATTTTGCGAAGAATTGAACGTACCGTTTTTGTGCAGCGCGCATGTCCAGGACGGGTCAGCCAAAAATGTATACCTTTCCCACTGCGGTGCTTGACGCACGCGAGCTAGCACGTGTAGCCTTGAACTTCAAATGATTCTAATAACAAAACCATGCATTTGATTGAGTTCAAACTTCACCTGTTTAATGAAAAGAAGTGTTTTGTTAGCATGGCCAGTTTGAAAAAAATCGAGTCGCGCACAACCGAGTTCTGAGGGGGCGGAATCCGCCCATCCCCTTCGGCTTTGAGATGGGCCAAAAAGAACCCAGCTCTTTTAGGGTTAAACTGGAAAGCATTTTGCTTGCCCCTTGGTTTGTGCTGGTGCATGGGGCTTGTTTTTGGATTAGCCTTATACACCACTTCGAATGTGAAATGCATATTAATAAAAAACCATTCACGAGAGGACACAGTTTTTAAAGATGAATCCATAAAATGGACCTAAATTAAATGGTTGCTATTATGGCCCAGTAAAGGCGTGTTATGAAAGACGAAAAAAAATCTCAAAAATTAACAAATCTTATTAGCAATGTTTCGTCGACCGAAACACGCTATCATTAATAGGTTTGCTAAGGAAGCCAATGCTAAAGTGGATCAATTCAAAACTCGTTCTTAATCTTCTGAAAATATATATTTAAATGCTTTGCTTTATGTTATTCCAAATGCATAATACAAAAACAGAGTAGTTCTAATATGCGGCATACGAATATACTGCACGCGTGATCGACCACTCTCGACGCCCAAAGCTGGCAAAACCTTAATTAAGAAGCGTAAATAAATAGCATCCGTGCATGCACTATCTATTGATCTGTCTGGGCCCCTGCACGAAAAGATGCTGATCCAATACATCTCACGACTGTGCGTGTTCCGTTTTATTTGCTGACGTAATTAGATTTGTTTTGTCATAATGAAATATTTCATTGGCGGTCGAGGTTTGTTTTCAACGACTGTGTGCCAAGCCCTCGCTATATCGGTATCTATTAAGTACCGAAGGTGCTTGTTAGAGTAGTGCAGACAAGAAAAAAAATGCCAGGCTTGAATCCTAGCCTCAGTTGATTTTACACAGTTCATAATTTGGAGTAATCCAAGTTTCGGTACCAGTTTGCAACATAGCATTACATCATTTACGTTCTTTATCGCTACAGGTTTCATTAGTTGCATATCCAAAGTAAATCAGAGCACCGTCGATAATGATCTTGAAATGTTTCCCCCGGTTTTAGACAAACTGGTGCCCAGGTGAGCGAAGCAGCTCCCAGGGAACGGAACATGGAACTCGAAAACAAGACCAGGGATCTATTTGAGAGCCTACTGGACGGTTACGACAGAAAAATTCGGCCGTACTTTGGTAGTAAGTGGAAACTTTCCAGCAGTGAACTCGTCAGCCGATTAACCCATTTCTGACTGTGAAATCATTTTACTGAATAAAATGGCGATTGCCTGCCATGTTCCAGTTCGAAAAATACCTTTTTTACAAAAGAAAGGTTCGCCAAGAAATTTCACATTTTTCGGCCTCTCGTAACTTGGTTCAATTGTTTTTAACAGTGTCTGTCGATGTCATTCAAGGCGCCGATTATGTGACCATTCTCCCTGCTCATTGGGCTCATCACATTTGAACATTCTCGAGAGCAGCTCAGCTCCCTGGGGAGTAACCTAGCCCGATGCTGCCATGTCAGGCGAAGACGGTTAACACAAACATAAGCTGTCCTCACAACTATACCTGTTTACTTGTGAGCGGAGAGAGGCACGTTAAGCGATCTGCACAAGGTCACAATATGTAATCACCTACCTGCTAAGATTACCCCGCCCCCACCCTGAGATCAGACTGAAGCTACAAACCCTCACCAGTAGGCCACATGTCCCCTTAAACTATTTTATCCCTCTTGAGAAGAATTACGTGCAACGAACAGTTTAATCGTACTTAAAATTGTACTATCGTTGCATCGTCCAAATCTTTTATTGATGGGTAAATTATTGTCTAGAAAAACCAGCGAGAACAAAAAGTGCTTTGCCCTCTGCAGCAATTAATAATCACCCACTACACTCGCTGGATCTTTCTTTAAAGGTGCGCACATTAACCAAGCTTCAAAATAACTTGCTTTTGTATATTTTCTCGAGAACATTGGATTTCATTTTCCGATAATGAATATTTGAACAGTTTCAAATTAATTTTGTCTGTTGTTAGAAACTGGATGGTGGTTGTGTGCTCGTCTGAAAACTTGACTGTTCTTCCTGTAAGAATATGGCCCCTTTTAAATTTCCTTTTCAATTTCTGCTGGCAGAAATGTGGGCATTTTGTTTGCCCATTTCAGAGTCCGACACGGGTTCACTGCATTTTTTTCTTCTGTTGTCGCAAATGCAATTAAAACAGGAAACGTTGTCGGCTTCTGGGATTCAAGCGGTAAGGGGAACATCTGATTTTGTTCTTTAGGAATTTTCCTTACAATTAGAATATACAGGCCCCGTTTCAAAATATGCAATTTGTGCATAGGCCTTGTTGTCCGCTTGTTTGCTAACAGCTCTGAAGGTTGAGCGGATCAATGACTATCAAATTAGGATCATACATGTGACAGAGAGGCTTCTTGATATTTTGGCCTCGACGGGGAGGTTGTTGCTGGTCGCTTTAGCTAATTACACGGATCTTGGTGAGGCAACTTGTTATATACGGCAGAAAGTTTCACAGAATCACGATCAAATCATGATCGCGAAAATAGGTCATTTGGCCCTCTATCATTTCGCAGCCTCCAAGCAGCCTGTCTAAATCGGACAACTGTTGGCCCTCTTCCAAGATTGGGCTTGACTGGTGATGTCACATCATTTGCATCGTCAACTTGCAAATGACATTAATATATATAAAAAAAAAAAAGTATCGGCAGTGGGAAGCTATTTCGAGAATTCACTTCAAACATTCTCTTGGATAATGAGCTGAGGTGGTTTAGAAATGTCTCATGGGCCCAATGGACGGAGGGTTGTAATGAGTTGCAATTTCTGACATTTTGCTCGCTGTGCTCAATCTCTTGGCGCTGGTCTTTTCAATACCAAAATAGACCAAACGCTAAACTTTCAACACCACACGGTTATGTTATGAAAGCGATTCCACTGTTACATTTACGAAAATCTTGTTCATTTCCCCTGCAAATTCCTCTCTGTAGCTGGCCGCCCAGTCCGCGTAAAAGTGGATATCTACCTGGCTAGCTTTGACAACATACACGAAGATCGCATGGTACGTTTTGTGCGTAGTTAATGCCAATGGACATCATGGTGTACTCAGCAAGTCAGTTGCTATACCTAATGACTTTGTGCAAGATTATTAATGAGAGTCGATCCCAACATGAAATAAAAAATTTGATGTGTCTCCAGATGTGATGAGCTAGCCCCTTAATGGGCAATTATGAGCAATCGTTAAAAAAGCCAATAAATTGCTGCTTTTAGTACGATAACAAGTCCAGGAATATTAAGTTGGCGAATAGCTGACCCCAGGGGCTTGATTTTCTGGAAAATTGAACAGTTTCTCCTGCAGGAGGAGGATACAGGCTTAAATTGATAATCTCGAAAATCATTGAGGGCTGGTTGGCATTCGTTTTCCGTTCATTTCTTCTGAAGCTTTATTTTGACTGCCTGTCACTCCCCCCCCCCCAAGCGGGGACATGCCCCTACCCAAAGCACTGTAGAAGGGAGTTCGAAATGTCGTAGGCCTATGTGTTTGGTTCATGTTTGTTCCACCGCCCTATCAAAGAGCTTGGTCACCCCCGATGTCTTGCGAGACGCAAGATGTTGGCCAAGTTGTTTTAATACTTCCCCTGGAAAAGATTTTTAAAAAACGTCAGCAGTTTTAAGAAGGATGATTTAAAATAGTGCTATTGTGGCAGAGCCAGAAACGAGTTTTGCTATCAAATACACGTCGTTTCATAGGAGTGGTTCCCCAATAAAAATGCACAGTTTTAATTTAGAGTTTCCCTGTATTTTCTGTTGGTGTTTCCCCCGTTCATTTACTTTGGCCCTTGATTCCACCCATGTAACTTGACCCCCATGCTCGGACCATTTAGTTTGAAGAGCAGACTAGCAAAGACACCATCACTGTTTATTATGTTCTTTCTGACTGGAGTGCGCTTTTCTGCTCGAGTCAGGTTTCTGTCTGCTTCCAAAGGGTCAGTGATTGAAAGCCCAGGTCTCCTCACTAGATTATGTTGACACACTGTGTAATTGTTTTATATTTTAGTCCCTAGTTTTAGTCTTTCAGTGCTAAATCTTTTCAGTCTTGTAGTCCTTTTGGTGTTTGCATTTTTTGGGTTCTTTTTCATTAATAAATTCTTTTTTGTCCTTTTTTAAAGTCAAATATTGGTGTCTGAGTCCCTTTTAATTCAGTTTCCTGCGACCTTTCCCTCAAAGATCCTTGGTTTAGTTATAGAATTTTGTTGTTATGCGAGTTCCCCCATAGCGTGTCATTTTTTAGGTAACACTATCATTCGGTATCAAGGTTCAGGCCCTGTAAACTATAAGCAAGTCCGAGTGCTTTCACACAGTTTTCTTCAAAAAGTGAACACCCTGTTGGAATTTTGTCTGTACACCTTTACACTTGTTTTCCTGCCGCGGCAGGAGTACGGCGTGACGATCTACCTCCGTCAAAAGTGGCACGATCCCCGTCTGCACCACTCAGGCGACGTTCCCCTGCCCCCTACGTCCCATTACGTGGACCACCTGTGGGTGCCAGACCTCATCATCAGCAATGCCAAGCAGGCGGAATTCAAAGATGTGACATTCATGAACCGCGTGGTGGACATTGACAAAGACGGAAATGTTTTATACGTCTCCAGGTCAGTTAAAATAACGATGTTTCATTCAAACAACTGTTGAAATTACTTTTTTAAAAGATAACAATTTGCTGCCTCAGCGAAGCTATAGAACACCTGTCAGCCACAGAAAAGGAGTGCAGGAGAACCGTTTTTCATTTAGCCTGATTCAGTCACCTTTTTGAATCATGAAAAATTCACCCTTCACACTAGAGGCGTAGTCAAGGCTCTTCCCAGAGGGGGATAATGGAGCGTGGCTATTTTTGAGGAGGGGGTCATTCCAACCTGATTCACGGCTTAAAAGATTTCTGTGTCCAAACTAAAATAACGTATAACAACACACTACAGATGGCGTAGTGAAGGCTCCCCCTTCCCACCTAAAAAAAACTGTCTAAACTTCTCCAGGGGAGAAACAGAGAAAGGGCAAGAGTTCCCTCGCCCGGTGGGGGGGGGAGCTTTCCCGTCCCCCCGGCTATACCACTGCCATAAAGAAACAAAACAACGCTCGTCTGTGTGTTCACGATCTGATGCAACCACAATGCAGCATCATCGCACATCGCTATAATCATGAGCGTACAAAACATTCCATTTTGTGGCTAACCTACTCGTTTCCTTTTCCATTGCTTGAACCAGGTTAGCGTTGCAGCTGTCGTGCTCTATGGATTTCCACCGTTTCCCGCTGGATAGCCAAGGATGCGAAATCGAATTTGAAAGTTGTTAGTTGCCAACATTTTTTTTCTCATTAAAATAAAAGGAAAATGAAATCTGGTTCAGAGGCCCACAGTTTAAATAAAAAAAACTTCCAGATTTTAATTCGAGCGTTGTCTCATTGTTGTCATATGGTTGTTGCAAAATGTACTTCTGGGACTGTCCTCTGTGTTGGTCAGTGCCATTGGGCATGTTTCGTTGGACTGGGATGAAGAAAGGATTAAAGATTTCAGAATTTTGTTTCTAGTTGAGTACACTACGGATGACCTGATCTACCACTGGGACGCGGAGATGCCTATTGAATACCATCACAATCACCTCAAACTGCCGCAGTATAATCTGGACGGTAGCAACGTGCACGCGTGCTCGCGGGTCCTCCGTACAGGTAGGCCGCTGTGTTAATGGGTCGATTTTCATTAGTCACTCCGCCCGGCTCCTGCCTGCTTCAAATTCTCGCTTCAAAGCGCGCAATATAGGAACAGTCGCTCTCGATTAACCGCAGAAGCGCTTGGGGGGGGGGGACTTCGTCACGGTTGCAAGTTCATGATTCATGTGATGAAACATTGATCAACGCGATACAAAATTTATGCACTTCACGCCCACACAGGAGCCCATAAATTACATTACTGCAATCCTGCCGTGCCGTATTAAAACTGGCGTTCGTCAAAGAGCCTTGCGCTATATCGCACATGGAGCAAATTTTTGTGCGCTTGCCCACAACATATCTTTTTTAAGAGGCCTGAATTTAAACGTCGGACTTCTGTGTCAATTTTTTCTTTGCAAATCAGAGTGCCCCTAATGGGCATTCTTCACTAGTCATGTGCAGTCAATCAAGGGTCTTAAAGTAATATTGAGGACATTTATCACAAGTCTGGAGGAGAACCGGTAAATGCCACGCTTTGGACGATATGCAATGTGGTCAGGGGACAGTGGGGATACCGACTCATAGCGAGCTTATGTGGAGAAATAGGAGCTGTGAAGAAGATGCAGCAGAATACCTGCCGGGGATGTTGGAAGGACAGTGAACCCTATCAGTCTATAGGAGGGGGGGCAGGGGCGGAGAGGAAAGGTCTCTCATAAAAAGGAGGAGTAAAGTGTACAACTGCGTGCTACTGTGCTAACAGATCCTTATTTTTCCCGCCATTATCGCATGCAATAGGAAACTACTCCTGCATCGGGATTAGGCTCATTTTCAGCCGTAAGATCGGCTACTACATGCTGCAGACCTACGTCCCCAGCATGCTGCTGGTGGTCATGTCCTGGGTCTCTTTCTGGATCCAGATCAAAGGCTCCCCGGCCCGTGTGGCTCTGGGTGTGACCACCGTTCTGACCATGATCACCACCACCAACGGGGTGAGACAGAACCTGCCTCCCGTCTCCTACGTCAAGGTATGGGTGGTTTGAGTTTGCTTGACTTAGTGTTACTGTGGTTCGAATCCCGACAAAGCCGATGTGTGGACTGGCTTTTCAGACTCCATACCTCACAGCGGCGTATCCCCAGCTCTTGGTGCTGGTGGCAAACTCAAAAGCGGCAGTGGCTTTGGTCCTATTCAACATGATGTTGGGGGACAAAAAAAATCAAACGCCTTGCGGTCCCGACATCCTTGCTTTTTTTTTTCGTGGTGTTGTTTTCTGATGGTTTTGGTGCTAATGTCTGATAAATAAGTATAAAAAAGTGAAGAAAAAATCCGGGGGCGAGTGCCCCACGCCCCTGCTGGATATCTCATAGATAGGTTTTCCAAATGAAGTCGTTCTGACAACTTTTCTCATCTTCAGAGAAGGGAATTTATTTTCTAAATCGTCTCATTCCCGGCAGTGGCGAAGTTAAGTTAGCCGCATTGTCGAAAATACTCGTCTTGCCTTCACTGATACGTCGAGGCATGGCTGCTAGGCAGGGAGATTTTAACCTGCGTTTGTACTTGTGTTGTATGTATGTGGGGGTGGATTCAACCGACTTCAACTGGAAGGCCATTTACTACAATGTTTCATATGCCTGTATGTGCTCCGCTGAAGAAGTCGATATAATGGATCGACAAATTATGGAAGAAAACAGGTCTGGGACAAATTTAAGGAGCACTCACAATGCAAACTGCACATTCTCGTCGGTTCCCAGCCTCTAATTGCTTTCATAATAATGCAGTGTATTAGAATGGGACTGAAGAGCGGAGGGACTTGATGTAGCATGTTACTTACCGTACAGGAAGCTTGGAAGCCATTCATTAACCTAATTAAAGCTGTCATTTTTTTCACGGAGTTCTCGCCGAGAAGCACAGACGCCAATATTGGAGTATGAACAAATAAGAGGTCTGCTATTTGGGCAGCAATGAATCCAAATTTTATCGAGAAATTTCTTTTAAACTTTAAATACCTTCGATGCTCTCGTCGAGGCAAATGATATATACTAGCTAATTTCTTCGATCTTTTTTCAAGGCCATCGACGTGTGGTTCGCTTTCTGCTTGGTGTTCGTCATAGGTGCGCTTATGGAGTTTGCTCTGGTGCATTATCTGGTGGACCATAAACCCAACATCAACATCAAGGAACGCATCACCTCCCTGAAGGTATACGCGTATAAATGATTGTTAGTGACAACGCCCAGCCTCTCAAGTTCTAGTCACAATTGGTTTTTACCCAATGGCAACATGGCCCGAGTTATGATTACTGATTCGGGATGTATATGAGTTACTTATAACCAACAACTAAAAAACTAACAAAGAAAAGATAAACAAACAGGAGTAGAGTTGATACTTTAGTAAGAACCAGCTTCCAGTCTCTATTTTCAATGTGCTTTAATCATTGACTTTAAGTGATTAATTGCCTTGGAATGATTTGGGTTTAATTCGTTGCGAGTAATAGGACTTTGAGATTGAGTTCAAATTTGTTCATCGGATCTAATAAATTATATTATTTCCTTTTAGAAAACTAAGTCTTGCCATCCATTAAAAAAATGTTTAGTCCATCTGGTGCACGCAGACACATGTTTACGGTCCGCTTATGCTAGTAATTGCGAAGGCATATCGCCCGTTATTTTTGCCAGAAACCTAGCAATGACCATGGATGATTGTATTGAATGACTGTCCGTAGAAGTCTTTAAAAAGTTCCAAAATAACCATTAATTCACAGAGGAAGCAGTCACAAGAGGGCGCCCGCCCTCCTTCGACAAAACACAAGCAGGACGAAAGAGGCGACAACAGCTGCGTCGTCCTGACGATAGAGAGCAAGCCCACCGCCGTCAGGCGTCCTGTCACAAGCAACGCACGCAAGGGTGGCAAACCCGGCGGCACAGCGACTCCGGACGAGGTCCTCTCGGTGGACAAGCTGACGGAGTCCGAGCAAGACGAGGCGGTGGAGGGCGGTGTCGCCTACTTGAACCACGCCCACTTCGAGATGGAGACCATAGATGACCATAACCAAAGACAGGTTTGTGTACCCGAAGAAAGCCTACCAAAGCAACAACAAAAACAGCAACAACAGTAAACAACTGCAACAGGAACAAAAACAATAGTAACAAAGAACAGCTTTAATATCCTATGAGTATATTTTAAACCGCGACTTCACTGTTGTAGGTTGCAAGGCTTTGGGTTTTGCCATTAATGTTCAAATCATCCTTGTGGGCCAGGTTTTTTAAAGTTTTTCCACCGTGAGCAGAAGCACTCCTTCGTCGGTTGAAAAGCATATGGAGTGGGAGTGTTCATTTTGTTGATAACGATGCGACTACAACGCCTACTTTTTTATTCGTTCGTGAACCAGACATGCGCAGCTGCCAAAGGAGCCTCCGCTGCTGGGAAAATTGCGGCCTCTTTTGGTCCAGCTCGGAGCCCATACAACAACCCAACGTCATTCCAAATGCGTGAATAGATGCCTGTATTCTCATCAGGGGCGGGACTTGACGGGGGGGATGATGCGAATGGCTCTTTACCCATAGAGAAAATTGTTAGTAGGTCTACACGCACAGGATGATTCGACTATAAAAACCTTCAAGCAGGTGTAGGGGGAAATGTGATTATTAAAATTCTTACGTTCTTCTTCTCCCCGTCCAGGGTGGATCACCGATGACAGTCAACGGCCAGGCCCTGAACCCTGCATCCCGCGTACTGTGCGTCAGTGGCACATGCGGCGCCAAGCGGAAGCAACCCTACCTGAACACAGGCCAGCGGATCGACAGCATCTGCCGCTGGGCCTTCCCCCTGGCCTTTGTCATCTTCAACTTCGGCTACTGGATAAGCTACTCACATGAGCACGAGAAACCTCAGTATATCCCATAAATGAAGAAGGGCTATTAAAAAAGTTAAGGTCGGAGTCAGCCCCTTTTGTCATTACCCCCGATGGCAATGAATATTTCCGGCTCAGAACCTCGGGAGTTTTCCAGTACTAGCTGTTTTCAGATCATTTTATAATCAACTTTGTGAAAATCGGATGTACCGTTCTCGCAATATATCAACTTCAGAGACAGGTCAGTCAAAACAGTCTTTCCTTATCTGTGTGCATGCCCCTGTGCTGACACGCGTGACGTCATAGTTGGAAATAACTATAATTAGCAAAAGCCATAACGTCGAATTCAACAGAAGCTTCGCAGATTTACTCATAAACAGTGTCTATAAAGTAGGCCTTCGCCAAGTTTCAAAGTGATAAGGTATAAGAAAGCCAACTCCTTAGTGGGCATACACCCAGGTTGTTAGGCCTATATATCTGGTCCACCTTCCCGAAAACGGCTCTTCTATTATGGTAAATAAAAGCCAGCAAATCCTCCCGTTAACCCTAAACCTCTGGGCGGACCCTCATTTCCACTTCTGGTCAACTTCTTGCCCTATAGTTGTCATGCACTCAGCCCTCTCCCTTGCCATCCATTATTTTTTCCTTCGCTTTTTCATATGCCTGTTTCTGTCAAGTTTACAACTTGTACACACTCGTATAAACGCGCAGTCTTCCCCAGTTATACTTTTCAAAACTGTTCGTTTTAAGGTTATGGAATTTAAAAAACTTGATAAAATAAAACTACCAAAAATACTTAGGAACCTGACTTGTATATCAGTCACACTTTATACTGAAGATTGTGAGAATGAGTGTCTTCAGTTATCTTGTTTGTAACTTTTTCACATCGTAATTGAGACGTGTAAATATAAAGTCTGCACATAATATTATGTATGGCACTGCATAATTGTAGATTACGTATACACAATGGTTTGTTATGCTCAGTATGTTTATAATTTTGTCTACAATACACAGCCTTGTATCTAATCCCCCCCCGGTGAAAGATGCATGCCAATTAACCGTCCATTTTTTTGTCTTTTCTGGGACGTAAGTCATATACTTTCGAGTCCGTATGCAATGGCATTGACAGCAGGGGTTAAACAACAGCAACTGTGCGTAGAGCCTGGCCAAATGAAGAGATACGCGTTGCCAGGCCGTTTTCAGCAGAAAACGAAAAAGAACCAGCAGCTATTGCATTCAAAGACTCACAAAACAAGCAGCTTAGACGAATTGTAAATTCAATCGGGAAAGCTGGGTGTGAATAAACTTTCCGTTACACTGGAATTGGAGAAAATGAAAAGCAAGCGTATGACCGGATCATTATCTGACGAAAGGAACGACATGCAGGTTCTGTCAATTTTAAATGATACCTCATTTTAGATATTTCTATTTTTTGATGATAGTATTAGTTTTCGTTCAACTGTTTGAGAGCTACCAAAGCACTGCAGTGATAGCTACTAGTACAAATAGAGCCTGAAGGCGCGCAGCGAGCTTCCGGAACCCTCGCGCGGTCCTCCTGTGGGGATTTTACATTGGGCCGTCCTATCACCTTCGAAAAGTTTGGGGAAAATGATTCCTTACTCATAACACCCCATGAAACACTCATGTTGGAATTTTACCTTTGTTTTCGTCAAGTAATAATTTAGGAAAAGTCACCTGGAGATGGATAAAAACAAATTTCAATAAAGACCCTTCACTTCCGGCAGTATCGTTCCCAGGTCGCCTTGTTCACGCACGTTTGTTTTCACTCCCTGTGCTTAGGTGAAAACGAGACAGTACAACGTTTCAAAGATTTACCTACCTGCATTGGACTGGTTTCAGATTCACTTGGGTTGACATGATGCACAGGTTAGATAAAATATTAGAATCTTTCGTAAAAATAGATTATTGCTTTAAATTTTATTCCTAATAAATTGAAAAATCTGTAAAATGTTTTTATCTGTTTTTATTTTGGCTTTTACCGACAGTCTACCATAAGTTTAAAATGTTGATTGGCGTACGAGCCCGCCGACTGGCATTGTTCTTTCTGTATGGCTATGTCTGAATCACTTGGCTACAGCCGGAAATTACACACGAGTCTACGGTAGCAGCCGCAGCCAGTTCTCTTAGAGTTGTGTGTAAGTTTCGGCAGTAGCCAAGTGATTAATTGGGACGCAGCCCAGTTTAGATTTTTGGAAGTGATGGTCAGTTTTGGGCAGGATATTTCTCTTTAAGATCAGGCAAATTTTCAGTTTCTATAAATTGATATGCTAGCAAATATTTTACAAAAGGAGTTTTAAGAAGTAGCCAAACGGAAAATTATTACAAATTCTAGCATTTTTGCACCTTTTTTTCAATCCAAGGGTTCTGGAAGCGCACCAGCAGGGGTCAACTTCAAGGCTCTATAGCAAAATCGACTGCATCAACTTCGATAAGGACGACCTAAAAGGACGACCTATTAGGGCACGTTTGTGTAAAGACTAGCCAATTGTCTTAAACACGCACTGGAAAAACTGTGGTGTTAAATTTACACTTGGGTGTTTTCAGAGGACTATACCAGACTGGGCTTAGTCTTCTGATAACACCTAGGGTGTTAGATTAACCCCAGTTTAACAGTGTTGTGTTCGAGTCCATCACAAGTCCCTGCATGTAAGTCCATCACAAGTCCACCGCAAGTCATCCAGTCTTGAGCCAATTAACTCGAAGGCTAATCAAATGAGCTATGACAAAAGCGTTCTTTTGTGACAAAATTGTTCACCCTGTTACTTATGACTAGCCTTGTGAGGGGCCTTGTGACTAAACTTGTGAAAGGATTTGTGAGAGACTCGAATTCAACAATGTAGTTTAATACAATATTTTGTCCATTTTTTGTCCAAGAATGGTGCTGGTATTACCCATAATGACACTAGAAAGCTTAAGCACGAAAGAAGTTGACAAAAATTATAAGCCCTGTAGTTGTTCTCTGCGTCACTGTTTCCAGTAGTATTGACAACAAATCGCCCTTGCCGAGGCAGCTCATCTTTTAATCTAAGCTAATATGTTATATTGGTGGCGCTGTTTCAAAGAACGATGAGGGTAAAAAATGGAAAATACGGGGAAAATAACTGATCATCGGCGTTCCATGATTCAACATAAAACAACGGCTAGTTCGGGTTGGGAACCAGGGAGACTAGTGGCAGTACGTACGTACGTACAGCACACAGCCGGCGCATGCATGATTACGCATTATTAAAGTAGTATCGTCCAAGATGGCGGAAGAAACCGCGGCTCCCGAGACTGGAAACTTGATAAAAGTGGTGGTAAAAACACCCAAAGATAAGGAGACTATCACCGTGGAAGCCAATGCCACGATAAAAGAGGTAATAGTTTGTAATTTAATTGTTTTTAGAGAAAATTAATGTAATATTTCGGCATCTTTTTCGTTCAAAGTGGGGATAGGCCTGTCGTCAGTTTGCGAGACGCAGATGGTCAGCCATGTCAGCCTACGTTGACTGCACTTGCCCAATTTTCGGACGACATCGAAAAGCAGGCGTAAAATTCTCTCTACGACTTCCTGTCATTGTGATACATATACAAAGCATGTAGAAAGGGGAAGTGGTGAACAAGTCCCATGCACCTATGTTTTCCTTATTGAAATAATTCATTTCATGATGTAGCCTAGCTTGGCAAGACCGCATAGGGGAACATCCTGAACTGCCATGCCATGACTGCTGAACAGTAAGCCTGTAAGGCACTCTGTAGTACCAGTAGGCCTTACTGGGTCCATCCTTTTGATGATTCTATACGCTATGGCATTTTGAAAAGTGCCCTGCAATCATACTGGCAGAGAAAACCTCTGTTTGACCATTCTGAAGCAAATCTTCCCCTAAGTCCTTGAAGAGACACTGTGAGACCCTAACCTAGCAAGCCTAGGCCTATATGTAGGCCATATGGAACTACTGGGCACGAGTGTATTTTGTAGTGTTTAACCTGTAGACCTATTATTGGCAAAAAAATGAGGTTTTCTCTACCATCCTCACCTCTCATCCCTCGACGATCCGCACACATCTGCATTAGTGTGGTTCCCTGACCACCGATCTCCCTGACGTCTCTATACATTATCTTAATGAGAGTAGGCCTAGTCGGAATTATAGGGACTGGTATGTTCCTTATGTGAATACGCTGCACCTGTTTTTGTCAGTGACATACGGCCACAGAGAATGCAGATATGTGTAGATCGTCGAAAGGATGAGACTGGATGGTAGAAGAAAATCTCATTTTTGCCAGTAATAAAGGTTGAAAGCTACAAAATACACCTGTGCCTGGTGGTTCCATATAGGTTAGCTATTGTTGCTTCAGAAAGCACAAACGGAGGTTTTCTCTGGTACGATTGCAGGGCACTTTTCGAAATGCCATAGTGTACGGAACCATCAAAAAGATGGACCCAGTAAGGCCTACGGAGTAGTGCCTTACTGTTTAGGAAGTAGCCTTGGTCCATTTACCACTTCGCCCACGTGCCACTTCGCCCGCATCAGGCCCACATAATATTTCGTGTGGTAGGCCTAATAATCAGTTAATGCATGCCCTAATTTCACTAATTTGTAATTGTAAAAATTGCACATTTTTTAAATATAATGTTTGACAAACTGTGACCAATGATTTCAGGGTTGACAGAAATATTATTTTAGTGACAGTTATGACATACCTACACTATGCAAATTAAAAAGACACTGCCATTTAGTTTTCATAGAGTGCACATGATATTTACCCACGGAGTCCACAACTGTAATTACCGTTCTGGCCACTGCTAAATGCAAGAGCTCTGTCTTCGTCAACAAAAGTCAACAAAAAGCAGATAACCGCTTGTTCAAATTTTGATTAACTGGTTTTGAAAATCTCCGATTTTTCCCACCACTACTTTCCTGGCAATCAGGGTGGATTCAGGAGGGGTTAGGTGGTTTGTTTGGTTGCTCTGATGTGTCTTCCTCTTTCCAATTTTGATAAAGGCCATGAGTGAAGTGGCGTGTGGGCAAAGTGGCGCGTGGGCGAAGTGGCAAATTGGCGGAATGGTTGTAGACGAAGCGGTTGTGGGTAAAATGGTAAATGGGTGAAGTGACTGGCACAGGCGTAGGCCTGTGTGATGCTTCAACCTGTTCAATATTTTCCCTGCTTTTTGGAAGGGTTTTCTCTCTCTGACAGCTACGGAACAACTGTAGGAGTAAACAAAGGATGTTCCTATATGTAACTCTTTCTGAAGGCGAATCAAATTTTTCATTTCAATCACTGTCACAATCACTTTTCAAGCCATGTTTAGGCCTAATGAGTAATTTGGACATTACAAATCGCCTTTTTTTTACATTTGGACATAGTTGGGCAAAAGCTAAACCCTAGTCATCAACCCTGAACTCAGGACTACTCACAAACTTGACAGAACTGCAAGTTACAACACTGTATGACTTGCGGCCCTATGACTTTGTATGAGTTTGTAATGTTCTGTGTTTTTGAATGCAGCCCAGTTAGATCAAATCAATGCTAATCAGGGGACGTTCACTTTTACATTTACTCGAAAATTCCACTTTCTAGATCAAATTTTCCCTGAAAAAGCCATTTACACTGATCCATATCTCTTCAAAACAAAAAAAAGAAAGAAAAAAAAAGAGCTTTTAATCACTACCCCCTCATTTTCCTAGTGATACCAATCCAAACACACTGTGTGCTTGGTGTTCATCACACATTGCGCATGCGTATGGTGGATGGCCGACTGTTGTATTTCAGTTTGACCGTTTTTGGAAGTGGGAAATATCAATTTCATTACCTGACTGTCCTGTGTGTGTCTTTGGATTGATCTGGGAGGTGGGTGCCGTATACTGCACTGTAAGAGCTGTGAGGGGGGAAAGAGACCTTATTGCAGATTTATCCACACACTTTGAAATGTTGATTTACAGTCATACAAGATGGTCATGCAGTGAAAACAAAATTCTGTATTCAAACCTTGCCTTTCATTGCCAGTACGGTACCCGTGATAACGGTCAGTGTGTGCGCCACAGCTGTGCCCATTCGCATTATACTCGTCTTGGCATGTATACCAAGCATCGGTGTGAGCCCGCCCAATCATGTGCTGGTGTGGTTCAATTTAGCCTGTTTTCAGGATCATTCATTCATTAAAAGCAAGCAGTTTACATGTATAAGGGTTTTGTACATGTAGGTTTTAATGTTTTAGCACTGATTGGAAAGTTTTGTTCACCTTGTGAGCCACACTTTGTTCTATCTACCCGCAGTTCAAGGAAGAGATTTCCAAGAAGTTCAAGGCACCCCCAGAGCAGCTTGTCTGTATCTTTGCTGGCAAGATTCTGAAGGATGCCGACACTTTAGAAACACACTGTAAGAGAAAGCAGACAGTCATTTTGGGTTTCTTTTCATCGGTACATTTAGTTACGGCAGGATATATTTTAGAAATCGGGTTACTTTGAGAGCATTTCTAAATTCTTAACGTACATGCACATGTGGAAACCTTTAAGAGATACGCTTGGTGAAAGACTCCTATTTATGGAGCGGATGCTTGAGTTTCATTTTTCACATCTCAATTTAACTCTTCGTATTTGTTCCAAAATTGATTTCGGATTCTTTAAATGTGTATAAGTGGTGATTTCATTGATGTGAAGGTAAACTTGTTTCCCTTTCTTTTAGCCATTAAGGATGGGTTGACGGTACATCTTGTTATCAAGTCTGCCAACAAGGTATGTTGTCAATTTTGTTTGATGGTGAATTATATCATGGCTTCTTCTCCAAGTCTAATACTGATTTGCGCAGGGCTCCCACCCAGTGGGGGCTGCGGAAGGTTCCAGAAAGCTCCTGGGAGGAAAAAAAAAACTACCAGAGAGACTCTTAGAAGTAACGACACTTACCCCGACCCCGTCAGGTTCTGTCCAGGGAGACAGAATCTGACATCTGGAATGAGAACCCTGCCGAGTACAATGTTTGTTGCACGGTGTAGAGCATCAACACCAGCCTAAGCACTGTCAGGTTTAATACACAGTATATTCTGCCACGTACGTTGACAGCTAAATGCAACAAAATGCAACAACTTTGATCACTGTTGCATTCTGAAGGGTTAGATAAGGCTTTCTTTAGTTGAATGACTTGTAACTCGACAGAATTGGACACTGAGCTCGTGGGGTACAATCCTACGCATCAGTACTGTGACGGATATGTCTTCCCTTCCGTAGGCTCAGGAACAGGCTGCCACCGTGGCCCAATCACAGACGCCCTCCTCCACCAGTACATCGGCCAGCACCACTCCGGGGCCTGCTCCAGCCCCCGGGAGCAATGGTGGGGGGACCAACCCCTGGGGCCTGGGGGGACTCGGGGGACTGGGCAACCTGGGCTTTGGCTCAGCCAACTTCATGGAGATGCAGCAGCAAATGCAGCAACAGGTAAAGGACCAGCACTTTGACCCTTAACCCTAACCTTTGACCCTTAACCCTCACTGAAGCACTCCAGCTCAATCCATGGGGAGTCCTGTTTCTGCATCCTTCAAAGGAATTCATTTAGAAGGTGTTCACTTGCTCAAAAGATTAGCAACAGATAAAGTAGCATAGTAAAGCAGTTCATTGTGTTTAAAAAATGAAAGAAATGTTTGCAGCGTTAGATGTATTGATTGAATTTGATTGTTGAAAACATCAAAAGTAAAAATTTGCTATGTCAATCCCCTCCCTTCCCTAAAAAAAACTGAAAACCAGATAAACATGCAAAGATAAGATAAATTGGGGACAGAGGTCACCACCACTTCATCAACCCTAACTAAGCCAAACTTGCCATACTCCCAACAGGTTTTGTGAGGTTTTGGCAGGTTTGGTGCTGTACCTGAGGAACTTCTTGTCGAATTTTGTGAGACTTGGGATGAAAGGCCCAGGGAGATGGTGTTGGATTCTGTGTGAGTTGGGACACACACAGGTCACTGTGTGCAGTGTCTGGCTTGCTGTACCAATTGTTGGACTTGATTGATTGATGCTTGATTTTGTCAAGTTTGGTATGTTCGGTGCAAATCATCCTGTACTGCATAGACCCATCCATACCATATCACTCAAACTCCAACGGGCTCATTTTGTTGGAGTTTGTCAGGTTTGGTACAGTGACCTGCATGTACAAGCACATAGACAAGTACATGAACCTGTTGGATTTTGTGAGGTTCAGTATGCTTTCTAGTGCAGGAACCTAGGGGGTTCGGGTTAAGCAGAATCAGTACAAATAGATAGATCAAAAGAATGCATATTTGTGGAAGAATAATGCTGCCGAGTCGGAATGACATGCATATTCATAGTTGGAACGACATGCATATTCATAGTCAGAATGACATGCATATTCATAGTCAGAATGACATGCATATTCATAGTCAGAATGATATGCATATTCATGAGTGCCGACTGATCTCCATTGCCCACTTTGCCAAACTTAAAGCGCCGTTTCTTTGTTGTTTTTCAATCCCTTCCTCGCCCATCACACAGCTGCTGAGCAACCCAGACATGATGCAGCAAGTCCTCAACAACCCCATGACCCAGAGTCTGATGCAGAACCCCGACCTGATGCGACAGATGATCCTCAGTAACCCACAGATGCAGGAGCTCATGGAGGTAGGCGGACCACATCAAGTCTCCACCTCTCTCGAAATCTCCTAGGCATTTGCAGAGGTTGTTTCTGAGTGTTTGTCACAGAGGTTGTCAGAATGATGCAGTCGGAGTCCTGCCTGAGTTCCCAGATTGTACGGACCAAGATCCTAGAATGGACAGGGATATTTGGAACCAGACGTGCCAACATGCTGTCGTATTTTTTGCAAAAAGACCGGCCTGTAAACTTTAGTCCATGCCCTAGTTTTGTCAAATGCTTTTTAGCGCACGCTTTTGTCGAAATGCTCTGATTCTAACCCAAATTTGAAAAGCTCAGGTGCTCAGACAAATGAAATACTGCAGATGTCTTTTTTTTCTTGTTCGTTGTTATTATTTTTTAACAGGAGCTGTGTTTGTCCTAAGTTCAAAGTCTAAAATGGGACACAATTTCAGCAGCTTATCCTGCTGTTGAAGGCGTATAATGTAACGGCATTTATATGGAGCTGTGGATTCAAGCTTCTGCTTGTTGGTCCTAGACTTGACAGAATTAAATTCTGATGCTGTGATGCTTCAGTTTCAGCAATAGGAACATCAAAGTCATGTCATCCATGATCAGTGTTTTGAGCAGGCGCGGTCCTGGAGCCGTTTTTTTTTTAGGGGGGGCTGGACCCTTTGCACGTGACGTCTCCATTTAAGTTTCGCAGCTGGTTTTATTTTTGCTTTTGGGGGGAAGGGGCTAAATGAAATTTTTTTGGGGGAGGGGGCATAAATCCCCCCACCGTAGAACCGTGCTTGGTTTTGGGATTTACTTATCAGAGTGTGGGGACACAGCGAAGGTTCAGTTAACGTGTCTCCACTGTTCCAGACTGATCCCTCGTCTCCCCCCCCCGTCTTATTTTTCAGCGCAACCCCGAGATCAGACACATGCTAAACAACCCGGAGCTGCTGAGGCAGACGATGGAGATGGCGCGGAACCCGGCCATGATGCAAGAGATGATGCGCTCGCAGGACAGGGCTCTCAGCAATCTGGAGGTGAGTCCGGGCGCCAGACTGCAGTCCTGGAATCCGCTCATCTTTGGCCATGTCCAAATTACTTGGCTGTCGCTCGCGATAATGTATGAGCTTATGGAAGCTGCAAAGATAGCGGCTTCATGCGTTTCCAATAGGTTTAAGTGTAATCTGTGGCCACCGGACATTGCCGTTTATACAGCCTTTCTCATCTAAGTATATGTTCCCATCGTTCATCAGCCCCTTTACCCTAACCTCTTAAACCCTTTTGGTACGATATCTCCTCAGTCTTTCAAAATCCTTTAACTGCCTCCATGGGAAAAAATTGGATACATCTTCAGTCCTCCAAAATCCTCCAGTAATTACTTGAATGTGTTCGATGGAGGGGTGACTACTACCTCAATCCCTCCAGCAACCTCCTGTCATGTTGTTCAGGCAGGGTGAATGGTATCCTGGAGCGATGTGGATGATGGCACATATATCGTAGATCCAAGTAAATGCCAAAGGTCTAACCCAAGACCTTGACACAGTGCATCCTTTGCAATTAGGCACACGTCGTCTTTATTGCCCACTCTGTCTCAGTCCTCAAAAATTCTCCAAAACTGATCGGAAGATTTTGTAGGATTGAGGGTTATTGAAAGTTTGTTTAAAAAAAAAATCAGGGTACTTTACATATTATAAAATAATATATTATTGCTAAAGAACATATTGTGATATGATAGGAAATAAAAATCCTAATTTAATATTTGCCAATGATCACAGAGTATCCCTGGTGGGTACAATGCCCTGCGACGGATGTACACGGACATCCAAGAGCCGATGTTGAATGCAGCCCAGGAGCAGCTTGGAGGGAACCCCTTCGCTGCCCTACGCAACAGCAGTCAAGGTGAGGTCCTCTTACCGTCTGGGCCATCCCGGAAATTTCAGCGTGCAGAGTTTTACGCTCGGGTAGCTATTTCACGGGAATGATTTTGTAAAACAAAATGGAAGTTCAGTGAACCCGAACCTTATTCTTAGCAGAGTCTTCTTTATGGTCCTAGTGACCCTTTGCATGTAACCATTGGCGACTTCTCCACAGATACCTCGGCCCAGCAGGGGAGGGAGAACACGGAGCCCCTGCCCAACCCCTGGGCACCTCCCTCCTCTAGACCCAGCGGGGGGACATCGCCGGCCACCTCCACCACCACCGCTACCCCTCCTCCGACCTCCACCTCCAGCTCGTCCACAGGCACCCCCAGCCTGACAGACCCAGGTATGTTAGTGTGTCGTGGAAATGAGCCGTGGTGTTCCAGTTGCACCACAACCCGTCTCCTGTTTCACTGTCCAAGGCACTTTGGGGCCTTTGCGGTTTTGGTGCATTGGAATCGCCATATTGGCGAGGAAAATTGCTGCAGTGTTGCATTGATTTCTGCATTAAGAACTGGCGGAATGTTCATCTTTTGTGTCTTAACCCCTTCGCGCCAGGAGACGGTAAGAGCCGCCGTGAAAATTGAGATCCCTCAGCCCGCTTTCCAGCTATTATTCTCGGCCCATGCCCAAGCGAACGCGGTGAAAGAAGGCAGACCCTGGCTCTTGTATGTATGGTGATTGGCCTTTGTGTGTTGCCAAGAAATGAAAAGGCCAAATTTACGTCAGAATCACCAGCTTCACAATAGTCCCCACTTTGAAAAGAGGCAAGGGGAATGTGGAAGCGTGAGTAGAGCCCCATGCCACCGAACAATGAGCCTTTTCACTGTGTAATTCAAAGAGAGCAGAGTACGCAAGGCCACAAACTGAGAATTTGCGGTTTGGCAGGTGGCCAAGCGTGGCTGGAATTCTCGGAGTCGGCTTTCAGACAAAAATTCCCGTCGTCAAGGGGTTAAGTTTCATTTTCTTCAATGATTTTCTTTTGTGTATTGAAGTACATGGCATGCATCCACGGAGCAACACTCAGAAATTTTTTCAAGAGCAAACGCTTGGTTTACAATTTTAATAGGAAAATATCTAAACTGGACAATAGCCGTGGCCTTAGAAAAAGCATGGATAATTTGACCTGTTTAAAAAAGTGCACTTTTCAACACACATCATTCCATGAGGATGCCAAAAAGTTTTCATACATTGGAGGAGTTATGAAGTAGCCAGAAAAGTGCATCTAAGAAGATTCATCGCCCTGACCCTTCAGGGAATATTTGTGGATGCATATTGTCCAGGGGTCAAAGCTTTGGCTTGTTAATTTTTTTTTGGGGGGGGGTGGTTTCTTCATCATTTGTGCTATTTTATTGTGTGTCTCCGTAGCTGGTGGCATCTTCAACTCTCCAGGCATGCAGAGCATGTTACAGCAGATCTCCTCCAACCCGCAGCTGGTCCAGAACATGTTGCAGGCGCCCTACATGCAGTCCATGCTGCAGTCCATGGCCAACGACCCAGAGCTGGCCGCTCAGGTGGGTAGAGGTCGGGGTTGGGGGGGATCTAAGGGGGGGTTGGATCTAAACCCGGATCAGGGGTGCCCACCGTCTTGCGTTAGGGGTGTGTGTGTTGGACCTGGCTAGCCTTGTGCTGCACTGTGGCAGTTGGGGTTCGAATCCAACTTTGGATCGGCTGCCATTTTCATGCTGTGTTGTGTCGGTTCCGGCTAGCTTGGCCTGTACTTCAGCAGTCTGGGTTCAAATCTAATTGTGTGCGACCCCCACTGCCCGGCAAGCACTGTAGTGATCTGGGTTTGAATTCTGCCCAGATTGGCCACCGTTGTCAATCTGTGATAAGTTTCATGGCAAATCCAGTTGGCTCAGTGGCACTGTAGCGGTCGGCTCAAGTCCAAACCCAGTTTGGCAAGGAGTTGGCTTGAGAGTGTCCCATCAGGTTATAATGAGGCCACGCCTGATCACCTGCTCACTTACCCGTAGTCACACTATCGAAGCAATAACATGCAGAATTTATGGCCAGAGATCACCTTGAATACCAGTAAAAAAAGTCTTAACCTATAACGTTGAAAGAAATCCTTATTTACGAAACTTGTATTGGTGGCACATGTCTTCTTGCGTAGGTTATGCGATCCAATCCCCTGTTTGCCAGCAACCCTGAACTCCAGCAACAGATGGCTACGATGCTACCCACTTTCCTCCGCCAGGTAATCAACTTCCTTCTGACCACCTCCCACTTAATATCTATCTACACTTTGCCGCTTGTGTTTTATAAGGGATTAGCATAACTCCAATTTTGACATTTCCCTGAATTTAGATGGAGAACCCGGACGTCCGTAACGTAATGACCAACCCTCGGGCCATCCGGGCCATCATGCAGATACAGCAAGGCCTGCAGGAGTTACAGTCGGTAGCGCCGGGCATCCTGCCTGGGTGAGTCACCTCGGCTCCAGCTCTGTCGTTGAACCCTAACTCTTGAGGGTGTTGTCTGCTGGAAACCTGTTGCGGATTCTTTGCAGGCCTCCACTATGCAGAAAAAAAAAACTTGAGTGCATAAGGGGTGGAACTTTTAAGGGCTTTTTGCACTGATTTCCGAGTTTTTGACTTGAAAGGTGTGGCTTTTCAAACTTGCAGTCATTGAGGACTAGCTACCTTTTTGCACCGTGTACAATAAAAGCCAAGTGTGAGATTCACGCAGTCATGGTTTAAAAAATGGGACTAGTGAACTTCTAGAAACCCTGAAAAGTCAGTAGTCATTGTTAGAGCCTGGATGTTTCTTTGAATTCCCAACATTCTCCAGTTTCATCCTTTGTACTTTAAGGGCCACCACACACCATATTTCGATACCTTCTTCAATACTGTGAAATCTTCCAAAGCCCCCGATGTCATTTTAATTTAAATCTTTATTAAATTCAAGGATGTCAGGAGCAGGGTCAGGAGGGCCTGGTGCCACCACCACGTCTGCCTCGACGCCCTCCTCCACCGCCACCCCTGCCACCACCACAACGGACACACCAGGTTCCGACACCACCTCACCTACTACTACCACCAGCACCACCACCCCTAGTAGTAGCGGCGGCGACGCCACCACCCCCACCCCATCATTGGCCACCACCACCCCACCGGTGGGCCCACTGGGGGGGCTCGGGAGTGACCAGTGGAGCCAACTGATGACCCAGATGTTGACCAACATGGGCGCTGGGACCACGCCTCAGGTAAGCCGGCCAAAGGAATCCACAACGGCCACTGACCGACGAGAAGAAGACTGTTTAATCTCAAGACGGGCCAGACAGAAGCTGCACGTTATGCATTGCTCATTTGTGGGTGCCGTTAGGTACCTGTAGGTCGTTTACAACTTCCTTACTCAATCCATCGGTCTCTCTTCTCGTTGGACAGCAACCTCCAGAGATGCGCTACCGACTCCAGATGGAGCAGCTGGTCAGTATGGGCTTCGTCAACGAAGAGCAGAACTTGCGGGCCCTGATAGCCACTGGTGGGGACGTCAACGCAGCGGTGGAGCGACTCCTTAGGTAGAATCCAGAGCTGATTTGTCCGTCTGTTTGCCCCTCCGCAGACTCTAGGGGAAAAGCTTTTAATTGTAATTTCTGATCCATCATCTGTCATCAATTCCATATTTTGGATCCTAGGCCGTTTTCCAATACTCAACTTCGTCTCCGTAACCAATCCCCGATTGTGGGCCTGAAGCGTTTAAATCAAATTGGATTACTGTAAGTTTTTGCTCTCTTCCATCTTATTAATATTTTCTGGCACTATTAGACTAATTAGTGGGCTTACAGCTTCAAAGGCAGGTAGTCAAAAAAAACAGTTGAATCCTGAGACGGAGCCGAAGTTGAGTATTGGAAAACGGCCTTAATTTCTAGAAAAAAAAAAAACTTGTGTATTTCTGCACTTGATATGCGTAACATGTGCACGTCCAGGCAAAAGATGTGGAAAGACTTGTAGGCTGTCCCACAATGTAGCGTGCGTTCTCCAATCATGGATCTCAGTCTACATCAATTAGCAAGATACCCCTGTACCGATGACATCACACTTTGTTCACTCGTGCCCTTTCTTATAGGGCTAGTGGAGTCCCACAGTCCACTGAGCACCCCAGGAAAGCACACACGTTACCGAAATGTGACGTCATCAGCACAGTGGTTTATTTGCACGTAGATCATGATTGTAGCCTGTTAAAGGTGGCCTTGATTCTGTGAATGAGGATTCCAAAGACTTTAAGAATGAACTTTTAACCACCTCGGAAAACAAGTTTACATGGCAGAGACTGCCAAGCAGTTTATTTTGCTGCCGTTATGGTGAACCCATTGACTGAGATAACGACGACGTTTTCTCAACTTTTTTTGTGCCCGAACTTTAAAATCAATATCCACCACAAAAAGTCGGCAACTTTTGACCTGCCATCTCGAAACCACGGCAGCGGTGTCACAAAATTTTACTTGGGTTCAGAGTCAACTTGCCACATTGACTTCATCAAAGGGAATTGTGGAGGGAGGTCTGTTTCAAGACCGTAGCTAGCTGGGATGCCAAAGGTCATAAATCACAGGCCATCTTGATGAATGAGATAATGTCCACCTGGTGTCAAAACATTATCTTGCAGAAGATGAAACAAGTAATATGCGTGTAGTAGCACTTTGATACTTGATTTTTGGTTATAATCCTGTTAGCGGCGATGAAATTTCACGGTTCCATTTTTTTAATTTGGAAAAAATGTTTATCACAAATAAAGGAAAGTCGTACATAAAAGTTTCTAACAAAAGGCCATGGAACATCCAATCCTTCAGGCCCGCAATCAACCTTCTGAGCATCAAATCTCGTCAAAAAAAGTTGGACATATTTGGTGAGGTAATAAAAGTAAAACTATTGACTGTGGCGGGAAAGAGGAAAGTACATAAGAGTATTTAATTTAAAGACTAAGGGAATCCCTGAAAATCTGTAAAATTTCTTCAGCAGTTTCAAAATGGGTTTATATGTGAATAGTGGACGTAGTTTCTAGTGTACTCAAAAGGTAGGTTAGTCTCCAAATAATAATTGTAATGTCTACAACAACTTGAACATTATCTTTGTATGAGAGGGCGAGGCTGAAGTGATTAGTAGCTCTGCCCGTCTGTATTTTATTTTGCAATTATCATTTCGTGCCATGAGGTCCTTGCATGAGAAAAGGACAAACAGATGTGATCCTTCATCTTAACTTTCTCACGTAAAGAGGTAATTGCTCGGTGAGCTGGAAAAGATGATTTCCTCCTAAATTTGGTGCAATTATTCTGAGACCAAGATCGGTGAAAAAATAGCACTGAAATTTTTCCTGACTTTTTTGAAGTCGGTCACGCATAACAAAATGCCAACTTCCTGGTGGCTGTGGAAAGAAGTGTCTTAAATAAAAATTAGATTGTCATGAAAATGATGCAAACTATCCATTTGAAAAGAAACTTATTGCTTCCAAGGACATGCGGCACCGACGGAAGCAAGAGAAACAAATATATATTTTAGATGGCCAAAATAGAATCCTGGCGCATACCAGGCCAACCAGTGTCAAAAATCTTGTTCTCATCAAATGTTTCAGTGTCATTTTTATGTGGTGGTTAAGTTTTCTTGTGCATCGTTTAAACTTCGAAAAAAAATTGCAATGAAAAATTATAGATCAGTATCTGGCGTAAAAAAAAAAATTGCACATAGATTAATGTAGTGTAACCTAAGAAAAGGACGTTCCTCCGGCTGTCAATTGTCCATATCTCGTTCTCCTACACTTTTAACAGCTATGCATTTTATGTTTGTTCAATGCTTTCAATGCTGACTTGATTCCAGCGGTGATATCCCATTTCTTCCCCCTCATATGTTGCTGTCATGTTCTTGCTTGTTCATTGCTACCAAGGGATGAGATTGGGGGGGGGAACAGGTTGATGAGTGACGGCGAACAATTATGATTGCCTGGGTATTGCAATTGGCTTAGAACTCGCCAAGAGATTCGTGAATGGGAATAGTCCCGTGTACATGTACCGAGGATGGCACACTTTGCTTACGTGTGCTCTTTCATATACTATGGAGCCAGTTGGGGGCCCATGGTCCACTGAGCACCTCAGGAAAGCATACGCCTACGTTATAGTGATATCAGCACAGAGGTCCTTCTGGAGGCATTTCTCTGCCAATAACTTTGCACAGGAATACGAAAAAAGGCTAGTGCCTATGGCATAGCAAGCACTTTCAGCCCTGTGTTAGACGACCAGCCACAGTGGTTCTTTTCATTCCCTTCAAAGTTTGTGGGATGTGTGAAAAATCACATTGCATTTAGAGGTTTTGTCCCATTTGGGATTGATGTAACACTCCGCAGACTGAAATGTATTCTTGAAGATTCAAGGACAGTTTATTTTTAACAAGAGGTCTTTTCTTCAGGACAGGAACGAAACCTGTGTTTGTTTCAGTGTCGCTCTTTTCCTGAGAATGTAATGGAAGCGTACACCGGGTTGGATGTGTATGGTATGATCTACAGAAGACTGTATTTTCATCGGAATGTGCACAAAATCTGCATCCATGGCAGCAGCGGTGTTTAATTAAGTGTCCATCTTTACCGTATTATCTTTTGTTGAGGGGAAATTTAAACCAGTGCATGCTGATCAAATGACTGTTCTATTGAAACTGCCTGCTGGGCAGTTCTCTGAAGCTCTTAATGCAAGTACATGTAGTTTTCCAGTTATAATTCCCATCTGGTATTATTTCTCATGCTATAAACACAAAAGCTTCTCATTTGCCTCGCTGTGTTATGTCTTGCAGTTGAGACTCTTTTGGTCATAAATTACACTATTGTATAATGGTAAGATCTCACTCTGTATAGCTCACATTTAATTGGTTTAAATAAAACTGCTGATATGTAACATATAGATGTGGTATATTGGAGCCAGTTGTTTCCGTTCTTGTGGAGTTATGCATCTGTTCATGAATATTTTGCCTTTCATTAAGAAACAAACACAAAAAAGAATGGTTTATCAAGCTTTAATTTTAGTTGTGTCTGGAGATACCTTCAAATTTGCGTGCAGCACATTTTTTTTCATTCATTCACTTGTAATTTTTGTATAAGTCTGCTGACTAGCGCCCTCTACTGATCGCATTAAGAAAAGTGATGATGGGGGCCGTGTGTAAGAAACGCTGAATGAAGGAGAGAAGGTCATCGGTCATGCAGCCATGGTGCAGCCAAGGAGGAGCGGCTGGACACGATAGGCCAAACAAAGCAAAGGAGCCGTCTGAGGTCCACAAATCATGAAATAACAATGCTGAAGGAGTAATAGGTGAGCCTTGAACCTTTTCTCGGAAAGAAATTTGTTCAGAGTTTTCTTGCAGACGACAGAACAAACGATTGCCGTTTCATTAGTCATGTTGGTTCCACCACAACATTCATATGTTGTGTGTACGTTCACGAACAACTTCAACAAGCATGACATTGACAAGCATTGCCATGATCGCCCAGACTGTCAAGTGTCATGACTTTATTTGTGGGAAACAAACATTCGGAAACTTCTGAAATTCCTGTCACTTGGGGTATAGACTATTAAACACACGGTAAAGGGGCAAATCTACAATGTACATGTACCCTTCCTGGTTCATCATACAGTTGTCATATGTACAGAAGTTCCCGGATGTCTGACTGTGAGCCAAAATTTTTTAACATGTTTAAGAACAGGGTTGCTAGGCAATATTTTGGCAATCGGTCATGTCAGCAGATCCATCAAGAAGTTTAATTGTGTAACTGATGGGTTTTTGTCCAATCTCATACACCTGTTAGGCCTACTCGGAAATCAGTCGGCATAAATGTCATGTCATGTTAGTAGTAGGCTACATACAAGAGGCCGACATGATGCACTTCCTGAACAGTACTACTAAGGTGCTACTCCGTAGGCTTTACTGCACTCCACCTTTTTGATGGTTCCACACACTATGGCATTTTGAAAGCTGCCCAGCAATCGTACCAGATAAAACATCCATTTGCGCTTGCTAAAGCAAATCTGATCCCCTAAAGACCCTATAAAAATAGCTAACCTACTATTCTCAAGTGTAGTTTGTAGCGTTTAACCAATATTATTTGCAAAAAATGAGGCTTTTGCTATCATCTTCACCTCTCGTCCCTCGATGATCTACACACATCTGTATACTCTTGTGGCTGTACGTTATGGGACAAAAACAGACACTGTGTATTCGCGTAACAAATGTTTATGTTGATTTGGATACCAGACCCAATAATTCCGACTGCTCTTGTTAAGATTGTGTATAGAGATGTTAGGGAGATGGGTGGTCAGGGAACCACACTAATGCAGCTGTGTGCGGATCATCGAGGGATGAGAGGTGAGGATGGTGGAAAAAAACCTAATTTTTTGCCAATAATAGGCCAGGTATGGAGTGCCATTTTTGCCATGGTCACATATTTTTGTGCAGATTAAAATGAAAATTGAGTGGGTACTGCAAGTAAAGACAGTGTACCGGTACGAGTACATGTAACCCTGTGGGTGTATAAATCTATAAACAATCCCAATGTTCTTGCCTTTATATGGGCCGTGCTGGAAAGATTTCTTGTAAAACATACACCAACACATAAAACAAACATACAGTACAAGAAAACACATCTGCATAATTTCAAAATGCGCGGAAATATGTTAAAACTTAGTTTTCACGACCCTATTTCACTCCCTCCTTGGAGCAAAAGCTAAACAACAGCCGTCATGTACCGAAAGTTGTCTGAAGAAATTCCCAAGAATCATGACATCGTAGGATGGAGTCCTTTATCCAGCAACTGTTTACTGTTACGCAGCAACGCGTTAACATGTACGTAATGCAGTAGCGTTTGCCTGTGCCATCAAGTGACGATAATGCCATCATTGATGCTTTTTCCGACCACAGCAATCAGTTGTCATGTTCGTCTTATTCATTCGAGGAAGAAAGCAACATTGAAGGAGCTGATGAGGCACAAGAAATTGCCTTACCAGTTCGAACCAGAATACACTTGGAAAGAGATTTTGCAACTCGAGACTGTTGGCTACAGGCATGGCGGTGACCCAGAGGATCGACAACAAAACACTGACTCCTTTTGGATTTTTGCCCTGCCCAATGTGTATTACAACAATGCATACTCAGTGTTTGCCCCCGAAGGCTTGTGAGAAAACCCACAGGTATACTCGGGTGGGACTTGAACCCACGACCTCCTGCTTACTTACTGACGGCTTAACCACTCGACCACCGAGCTTGCCGTGTCGACAACTGACAAAACCAGGTGACGCGAAATGGGTTGACGTTGGGTTGGGATTTGTGTTTAGGGCCTACTGCCTACTGGGAAAGCTAGACTGCCTTCCTTGTCTTTTATCTGTTTCACCAGTTTGGTTGTTTTGTCGTGTGTTTCAGTGATTTTGTGGGGTAGTTTTTGTCCATGGTTATAGGCTAGCCTACATGTACTTCGTCAAAGTTGGTGTTCCATTCCGACAATATTTTTCGCCGTACACTAAGAGTCGCTTGCTTGGTCCGACCAACTTTCTTGCTGGAACTATGCATTCTGGTCTGGAAAGTCGAGTCTGTCCTATGATGTCAAATTTTTGCCAAGATTTGTCTGCTGCCCTCATTGACCGATTTCGGTAAATTTTTGGGAAGAGCCCCGGCGGAGACTGAAAAAAGCACCCAGAAAATGCCGAGTTGGCTGATTTAATGAGATAAAAGAGGGGTTAATCCAACCTATGGTGTATAAGACAGTTGACAACTATCATATAACGTCATTTTAACCCTACATGGCCCATCCCCTTTAATGGAGCTCTCATGCAGTCTGACAAATGCAGACATGTACATCATGCATCGCCTTTTCTTGCTTTTGGAAAAAAAAAATGCCCCTCCCTCCCACTGGGAAGCGCAGCATATCTGTGATACACCAGAGGCATACAGGCAAAGTTTTGAGCACTTATCCAAAATGGGACAGATGCTGTTTACTGGTATATATGAAAGCAACCTGTATTCTATGCAGAAAAAAGTCTCGTAAGCAATAAATCCTCAGTTATACATGTACTGAAATTTGTAAATATTTAGAGAGAGAGGTATATGCAGGTACACCATGGAAGCTGGCTCTTAGAAGAGCTAGTGGCAAGGAAAGGTCTTGACATTTCAGACAGTGTGCTCTGTTCGTAAATATTTATAAGAAGATCAGACGCGTAATGCCAAACATTCCTGATGGTGATATAAAAGAACCTCAATTACAAGGCCAGTAACGCGTGATCTGAGAGGGGATCAGTTTTTGGTTTTTGACATGTACCGGGAGAATGTTCTATAGGGTAGAATGGACTGACGTAGAAACCAAAGATCATATCTACTGAACTGTTAGGACTGTGTAGCATAAATAGGGCATCATTGATTTTTATAGCAAACACGTATTTTACATGTACCGGTTGTATGCATACATGTACCAGAGTTGAATAAAATGTCTAAATTTGAAAGGAAATTTGATATTTACTTTTCAAGAAATTATGTGTAACAAGTACTTGATCATGTACCTTACATGTGCTGGTACACCGTACATGTACATGGAGCAGGGAGGGGTTGCTACCGGTAACACCTCCCATCCCCTCCCCTTCCCTCCTTTCCTCTCCCCTCCCCCCACCAGCTACCCAAGTTGAATTGAATGCAGTACGGCTGGGACCGTGGAGCTACATGTATCTAAAAACTAGAGTACTACTGGTAACTTCTCATTCTCCGCATGGAGAAAATTTGACGCCATCTTGGGCACAGACATTTGGAATCTATGAGTGTGCTTGTAGAGCATTCAAAATCAGAAAGGATATTGAATTAAATGCAATGCTCAAGTACAACATATGCAAATGTCAGCATGTTTTTTGAATAAGGCGCGCACGTTCAGAGCAGTGGCACATGTTTATTTACATCCATAGCTGATCATTTTAAAACAAATGTTTCCCTAACATTCGAGCAAGGCTGTCCGATTTCATATGCATGCCTTTCGATGGCTGTCTTTCGACAAGTAAGATCGGTTAAATTTAAAGAATTGTTACCTTAATTCAGTAAGTGTTAAATGAGTTGGTAACTCTGGGCTGTCGTGCGCATTGGGTACCAATAAAAACCCGATTAAAAAAGTCACAGCAAAATTCATGTGCAGCGCGTATGGCGCGCGCGTTTGTGTGTTTTGGCACAGAGCAAAATGAAACACTTGAAAAGTAAATGTACATGTACACGAAGTACACTATAGGCCTAAACATCTCCAGATAATCACTGAAAGTGCTACGATATAAAAAATGTATGATGCTTGTACACAGAATTGTGGCCTGGGAGGGATTGTCTTTTTTTTTTCCAAATGAGGCCAAGCGAGACGTTTGGCATCTGTTATACTAATGTGCAGACATATGGTAGACAGGCTGCATTATGGATGTCTGCAGCCATGAAGCTTGCATCAACTTTATGCAATGCATTGGCATACCGGTACATGCGCTCTGTCGATTACACCCTGCAGGTGGTTTTTTTTTCCCCACAAGCGCAGCGGAGCAAAGAGAAAGAGGCTTACATGGTACACCGTAGACTAGTTCAACTGTTCCAAACCATTTGCCGGTGTGTACCCACATGTAGCGCCCTCGTGTGGACCGCATGTTTTTTGCACACCTGCAACACAAATTTATCGCAACTGTCATGTTAGGCATGTGCCTCGAATACGTTATACTAGTACATGTGTACGTGTGCATATTTGAAGCGTTGGCCTCACTGGATATAGGTACGAGTACATACAATGTACACGTGTATGTACATGTACCGTTATATTGCTGCAAAGTAAAGTCCACTCTTGCCTATGCATTGACCCTCTGCCTTTTTTTTTTTACGTGTAAGCTTCTTGGATGAGCTTTTTCGAGGCAAGGTTCTCCTCTTCTCTGAAGTTATTTGTGTTTGCCATCTTTTCCTATTTACATGTACTGTATGTGCTGATCGCGACATAAAGCACTCCAGCTGGCCACTCCAGCTGGTCGTATCATTTTTTTAAATTGCAGTTTTTGACAAAACCATATATTATAACAAAGAGTACAGCAAGAAAACAGCAATTCCATCAGTCTTCATGTAATTTATTTTAAATGCTGTCTGTTTATTTATTTTTTTTTTCTCGATGAAGGTCTACCCTGTGTTTCTCTTCCATAAACTGCAGATTTTTTGCTAATTTGGCAGGTACTCACTAATCTTTGCTCGGGGATCAACAACTGACTGGTTCCCAGGGACAGGTCCCAGCGCCCCCGCCAGCCCCTGGGAATTGTTTCCACTCTTTCGTCATGGACATCGGCAGCCTGTTCAGCAGGGATCCGCTGGCTGTGAAATTTGCTGGTAGGTGTTTGACTATGTTGCGAGCCGATGCTTTGAGTAGACGGCCTTATTTAATTTTTGTGTGGCCTTGTACACGTACACGCACAGGGAATTGTCCCGTGACAAACTATCAACGCTGTGACGCATGAAACTCCCCATTAGGGTCGTAAGTCCAGTATAAAGTATCAATTACATGCAAGCATTATTGTGGACATTTCTGTCCCATTGGTAGCATTGATGTGATCCGCACTGTCACAGCTGTGGACTGCATTGTGAAATAGTTCCGGTGAAATGCATGTACATGTATGCGTTTTAGCTGTGGTACAGTGAATGCATTGTGTTGTTGTGATTGTTGCTTTCGGCAATGGTGTTGTTTCTTCTTCTGGCCACGGCATTGACTGGCTCCTTTGTCAGCGCATGTTTGTGGTAAGGCTTGTACAATACGTTGTACCGGTAGTCCGTAGTTTATCTTTTTTTCTCCCAATTTAATTGATTGACTTTTGATATTTGTCAGTACCCGGACTTGTTGTCTGTGCATGCCATTGCAGTGTTGTACTCTAAAAGTGGAGACACTGGCCATTCCAGGACCACTTGTAGAAGATTTCTGGACATTTTCCTATATCATCAAAAAAAAATTGTCTAGTATATTGCAGTTTTAGTATATCATCCTGGTTTTGTTCAACGGATATTTTTCCTTCTTTTTTTTTCCTTTGACTTGAGTGTGTCTGTGTCTCAGAAAGGGGATACGATGAAATGAAAGCTCTGTGTTTTTTTAGTTGGTATATGTGTGTGTGGAGAGATTGAATTATTCTGTGAGAAATTTTAACGGTGGTTTAATTTAAAAGGGTCAGAAGGTGCGATGGAACTCTTTGTACCTGTTTTCCACAATAACAAAATACCTGTTCATATTCTTTCCAAGTTACTTTGAGAGCCGGTATGAACTGAAATGGGACTGCGAAGGGAGAAGGGGGGGCGGAAGCCGCAGGTGTTGGTGGGATGTTATTTATTTCATCAATTTGTCCAGCATGGCGGGTGTGTATATTACTGTTGGGTACATGTACCCGGTACATGCGTATATGAGCTCACATACAAGTACCTGTACATAAACTTGTACACTGGTCAATTACATATGATCTGAAATTCTGAAGACAGATCTGACTAAACTCGCATGTGACACCCACACATTTTTTATTCCCGCGCTCTGATAGGACACATGAGATTTCTTAAGCAGATGCATAAATGAAATGAAAGCTGAATCAATTTAAAGACATTCACCATGTAGCCCTTCTTTGTCCTGTCCTGACCATTAAATGAAAATTGTATGACTTCTCAGTTCATTTCAGGGTGAAAAAAAGGAATGATGTGATCGGCTTTTATAGGAGTGGCTGTGATATCAATGCACGCATTGTGCAAGTGGGACATACATGGACATGTACATGTCCATATGTTAAATACCCAACCCAAGAAAATCAGAAACAAGTCGCCCAAGCGACTTTGAAGCGAAAGGCCTTGAAGAGAGTTTTGTACCGCATAAATCAGTGGGAACCAGGAACAATTTTCAGCCAAATATTGTCCATTTTCATTCGGATATAGCCAAAATGGGCATGATGGGTGATGCATCAAAACAGTGAACTGATCTTGCGCTCCCTCTCATGCCTTCAACTACCGAAGACGTAGCCTCAAGACTCATTTTGTGGGATCCGGTCGCACACAAGCTGACAAGTGTATTGAATCGTACTGAGTATTGGCCTGCAGGATTAAATGGCTGTAACGGATTGGACCCACACATGTACATGTAGTTAACCATACTGTACCCTCACCCAGAATCTTGGCTAATTGAATGAAAGTGACTCATGTCTTCATTTGAATGAAATTGATTGATAATCAAATTATATGTATGTGGCTTGCGTGTAATTACATGTGTACTTATGTATTTACATGTATGCATGTGGGTGCAGGTGTATTCATTTAGTACCAACAAATGTGTTTCATGAGCAAAGTAAAAAAGAGACAATCCAGCATTACTGCGTGGTGTTCATAGCAAAACACACAGGTGCATGACACTAAAATGCATACAAGAACAACACCAATACGTAATGTACTGTACATGTACATTTATGCACACATTCATGTATAAGTGCATTTGTTTGTTGAACATGCGGGAGTTACACAACGTATAAAAACCTCTTGAAGCCCCTCCCTCCGGGAGGGGGGAGGGAGGAGGCTGGGAATCCTATTATTTTTACAGAAGCACGACTTCAAGTTACAGTGGTTTACTGTACAGTACATGTACAGTACCTTCCCAGAAAACTGCAGAATAATGCAAAACCTCTCATGCACCTGTAGAAAGGGATTTGTACGTGTACTTGTACCTGTCATTCATGTAGGTGAGTTGCGTGGTCTGCTTGTACATATGTGTAGTTGAGAATGATGTGACTTTTGTTGTTGATTTATGATAATTGCATATTTATGCATTTTTTCCCAAAACCTTTGTTCTTTTTTTTGGTCAACTTGTGTTCTTTTTTGTGGATAAGGGCATAATGAACTTGCAGTGCCTTTGACGATCTGTGCATTGATACAGCATGCATGCGTAAAAAGCAAAATAATGTACGTGTACATCATTGTTTTAACTGGAAAATCTGGTGTGTTTTACATTTCTTATTTTTACGACTGACTCAGTCGCATGAATGCCTTTAGTACGTGTATGCATTCGATTGCTGTTACAATAGAAATGTCTGTTTTGCTTGATATGTAATTGAATGTGATTCTAAATTTGTATTTTTCTCTCTTTCTCTCCTCTGTCATTTTCATCCATACTTCTCTTCTACTCTCTAAACCAATCTTTTCTCCCTTCATTTCTCTTGTCTTTCTCAAACTTATTCCCGTGGTTCTTTGTCCATGGTGCATTTTCCTGTCTCTCCTGCAATAACCCATTTCTATTCTTCAATCATTGTCCCGTGTCCCTCATCTGTCACTCTTTCGTTTGTCATCACACCTCATCGTCCTTTTCACCGTTCATTGTGAGCATATTTTTCCCCACTTTTCTGTTTCTTTGGTTTCTGCGGCTTTAAAATTCTACTTTTTTTATTTTTTTGCTGCTATAACCCTAACCATTGGGATTTGACCGAAATTAATCATCGTCTAACCACCCTCAACTGACCCTCAATCACCATCACGACCTCCCTTCCTCGCCCACATCACCACCCCCCCCTCTCTGTAGGATCCTACTGAGTGCTACTCTAACCACCGCAGCTGCCTGCGCGCTGTACAACAACCCACTGTGCGACGAAGGAACCGGCAAATTGTCTCGGCTGAACTGACGAGGAAATCATTCTCGTATTTGATTGGCCCTGAATGCCCTCCTGTTATTCCAGCACATGCGTGGCGGCACGCCACATCAACAGACAGCCTCTGCTGGTTATTTTTCTGTTTTGCTCTTGGTTTTTTTTGCGTGTGTTGCCTGCTGCACGTGTAGGAAGTGACTTCTTCTGTTTTTCGGCCACCGTTTTACCAGAGTGCCCCGATGCCTGGTGTCGCCTCTTCCCCACTGCTGTTTGCTGTCCACCGTTCCACGTGCCCACGTGATATGTGTGTGTCTTGGTATCTCTGCATGAAATAGTTTATTAATGAGATGTGTAGCCGAGACGCATCACTAACTGTGTCCTTGTGGGGCCCCCATCAGAGAGATTTCTAGTGAGCTGTTGTGTTCACAAACCAGCATGGAGGCACGAGTTGAACAGGGTACTAGATTTAATCTTTGCTCAATTGTTTTGCTTTTCGTATAAACTTTAGACATACATTGAAACCATACCAAGTATGGTCAGTCCCAAAAAAACCATAAGTGATTGATGGTTTTGCGTCAGCTTTTCTGGGAAAAGTTTACAATTATTTTTCATCCCATCACTTTTTTTCCCCTGAAAAAGTAACCATGTGTAGTTTACTGGTAGGCCCTGTTTCCGCTATTGCAATGAAATACAAACTTGCAATACCAATGCTTCTATGCAGTGGAACGAATTTAAATGCATATTTATCTGGTATTGTTAACTCAGTCTGGTGTCTGGAAATATTTATTTACAATATTTGGAATATTGCCATAATGGTTTGCTGTAAAGGAGGAATTGTAACCAGTTATTATACCATATCTTGAGCTTTATTTGTTCATTTAGTTTCCAAAAATAAGAAAGGAATTAGCAAAATGAGAAATTGTTGCTATTTTAAAAATTTCCTCAGTGGAATGCTAGTACTTGAATTAGATCAATACAACCGGTCATATGTGCTTTTTGCAATGTTCTTGAATGGGTTCATAGCGTTAGATTGTCTTAGCCTAAAACACAGTTGGTATTCTGTCAAGCACATCCCCTTTTGAAGGAGAAGATGAGGATGTGCTGTAAGGCACTTGCATAGTTGCCATGGAAATGGCTGCCATGGCAACAAGACCACCAGGGTTAAATAAGATACATGCAAGAGCCAACTCCTCCGATGCGTGCATGATGAAAGAAGAGCACTAAATATTGATGAAGTGGTACTTGAATTTTTCTGCTCATAAACTGCTGGGGAAAACCTTTGATCTAACAACAGAAGACAAACCCAAACAACAAATGTTTTTTGAATGGGGAAGAGATTTTAGGATTTAAGGGGCTGGTAGTTGCCCGATCAGATCAAGCTGTTCAATCTACGTAAATTACGTGAATACTTTTTCAATAGGGTCATATTATTCAAATGTAGAGCTTCAAGGAAAATGTTGGGTTTTTTGTCGAAAAAAAGAAATGTTTACACTTTCTGTGTCCAAGAACTTGAAATATTTGTCACATCTCGCATTGTCTGTTACCCCAAATCCGATCCATTTAATGTGGGTTGGATGCTTCACATCCATCTGATTCTTTTGCTTGTTTTTTCCCCTTTGTTTTCGCCAATGCCCAGCAAAACTCTTTGGCAAAAAGTTTGCCCGCACCAACAAGTTCATCCACACCAACAAGCTATGGATGCAGACCATCCCAACGCGCGACTGCGACGTCCTGATGACCTTTCCGGCCAAGACGGATGACGACACGCTCATGTGGCTGCTGTCGCGGCTGCGGGCCCGGACGCCCGAGTTGGGCGTGCATGTCCGTCACCATGGCAACACGGGCGTCTACGGCTTCTATATGACGGCCAGATTTTCAAAGTGGGTGATGGCGAACAGTGAAGAAAGTTAAATCTGTAGACTGATTCGATAAGCCGACAACTACAAGTTTAAAGAACATGTCATTGGTTTTGGGCCCCATTTTATGGAATTTTGGAGAAGTTAGTAAACAGGGTTCCCAAGTTCCTGGAAAATGCTGACCTGGAAAATCATGGAAAAGTTGCAGGAAATGTTCTTAAATATCAGGTGTCCTGGAATCCTGTTGTAATGGCAAAAGTCACGGAAATCGAGATCACGCAAGGGTTATTTTTGATGAGCTACTTTTAATGTGATGATGTAATAACAAATACAGGCTTTCATTGACCGTCTACAGTCGTGGCTTTTGCATTCTTCCAGTTCATAATACAAACAACCTTTTTCTGCAAACTGGCATGAAATGTCCCATTTTACATGTAGTCATGGAAAGTCCTTGAAAAGTCATTAAATTTTTTGTCCAATTTCCGTGGGAACCCTGGTTAAAGTTGTTCACTAATAGAAAGACCAGGGAGTTTAATGGTTGAAATACGTGGTTTGTGAAATGAACTGTAATTTTTACCACTTTCAGCTTGTTGAAGGGTGCGGAAGACCTTGGCCTGCGGAAACCTCTCAAGGAGGAGTACGGAGGCGGGCTGAAGGAGTTCACCTGCGCCGAGGAAGGGATGTTTGAAGGGGTGGACCGGGAGAAGGAGTTCTTCTCCTCTCAGGTGTGGGCTCTGCACGGGCACCATAGAGGGCGCTGTGCCACGTCCTCTCGAGAGCTCCTTTAGGGCATATCGCATGGATGCATTGGTTCGTGCATCAAAATCAAACCACATGCAGAGATAGCATCCAGCAGATCAGTTTTCATCTGAGATCATATGAGGGGAAGACAGAGATACGAAAAGTTAAATTTGCCTTCACGAGTCTTTGTTAAGTACTTTGTAACTCCTCTTAGGTAGTAAGGCAGTGTGTCAGGAATTAAGCCGAAGCAAAGCTTTGTTGATTCCGTACATTCAAGACAGAGAAATATGAGTGGAATCACTGATGTTCGGATATCCAGTTTTTAGACGACCTGTAAAGGCACGACCCCCCTTGTGCACGTAGTCTTGATACCTGTTGATTACGTTCTCTGCCACAGCAACGACAAGCCATCGTGCATCACATGCTGCTGAATCTCCGAGCCGTAGAGGGCGACAAACTGGGCAAAATCAAGTTTCTTGAAGATCAAGCGATTGGTAAATTAAAAAGAAATACACAGTACCATTTTTTTGTCTGGTTGTTTTTGTGTATGTTTTTTAGTTGGGTTGAGTTGGATGGGGTTTGATTGGGTTGGGTTGGGTTTGGTTGGGTTGGGTTGGGTTGCGCTGTGTTGCGTTGGGTTGGTTTCTTTTGGTTTTGATTGTGTGGGTTTTTGTTGGGTTGGATTGTGTTGGGTTGTGCTGCATTGGGTCGGTTTCTTTTGGGTTTGTTGGGTTTGATTGTTGGGTTTAATTAGGGTGGGATGGGTTCAGTTCTGTTTGATTGGGTTGGGTTGGGTGGGTTTAGGTTGGACTGGGCTCGGTCTGGGCTGGGTTGGGTGGGGTGGGTTTAGGTTGGTTTGGGTTAGGATTGGGCCTTATCTTTACTACTTGCAGTGCAGTGCAATGCAACTTGGAGTAAAATATGTGGAATGAAAAGAGTGGCAGGCTACACTAATCTGTACACTACTCTGATGTTTGTCTCTTGCAGTTCCCAAGCTATTATCGAAAAGAATCATCTCCCAGGTTCTGCCTTTGCATAACAGCGAGGCTCTAGCCAGTCTCCGAACAAACTGGGTCCAAGCTGTGTTCCGACTACAGCCACTGGGTAAAGAACTTGGTCCTTAAATCTCGTAGACTTCACTTAGATGGTGCAAATCTGCATAGTGAGGTGTGTAACGCGGGTTTCCATTCACTATGACCTCTTGTACTAAAGGAAAAGATTCCGTTTTCGTTTTTACTCTAAGTTAAAAATCATAATTTTAATGTTGGATACAAAATTGAAAGTGATGCGAGTTTCATGATCGGAAGAATGTTACTTTTAACCCCAATTGTTTTTTTTTTTTCTCTTGAGAAAGTATCACCTTTTACATTTGCAGATGACATCTGTGCCTACTTTGGCGTGAAGATTGCCATGTATTTTGCCTGGCTGGGACAGTACACCAAGGCCTTGATATTCCCAGCCCTGCTGGGAGCCGTGTTGACTTTCTACACAGAGAGTAATCAGGTGAGACAGTCGCAGTCTAATTCAATTCCAAAAGAGCTCGCCCAAAGTGCAGAGGGAAAATTTGCCTCCGACATGACTAATGAGCCAGTTGGGTAGTTTAAACAGTGAAGATTATTTGAAAGCATCGGTGTAAGGTCAGCATTATCAGCGGGCTGTGCGCTAACGCTCACGCACTAAATTCGTTTGAACTGACACGGCATCATGTGCTTTGTCCTTGAATGCCCTTGAATAATAAGCCGGTTTGAAAAACCGGCTTATTGTAATCCTCTGCTTGCTGATTCCACAGTTCAACCAATTATCTACTTTGAATATGCTCAGGCGTACACTGAGCATGTGGGAATTGGTACGACTCCAAGGGCTTTGTTCTCCGCTGACCCTTCTCGTTTTGATATACTGAACTGGTTCATTGTGGTAATCTTTTGCTTTCTGAATCCACGCCTAATATTCCAGTTCATATAGATCCATTGTCTTCTGCTTCTAATAATGTCCCTGGAAGTTGAAGTTTAATAGAGATCAAACTTATAGATAATCTTTGCCAGCTATAGTAATAAAAAGGTCTGCTCTAATGATCAGCATGTTTTACCAGTTTTGTAATAATTTGATTTGTGCATTTGTATAGTCTTAGCAGAGGATTCTGTGCTTAAGTTAAGGTTTAGTATAGAATTTGTGGGTTGGTGGTGTAAATATGGAATGGTGGTCGTTAAGTCTCGAATCTCAGGTTGGTTGAGCCATCAAACAAAAGCCAAAAGAAAACCAAACAGCCAGTCATTCAGAACTGGTGACGGACATAAATGCAAAAAGCCTGGGCCCCTATTACGCCACCCCAGGAAAGTGAAGACTTCAACTTTGTCATCTTCACCACGTTCAACATCATCTGGGCCACACTCTACCTGGAGTCCTGGAAGAGGAAGGGGGCGGAGCTGGCCTACCACTGGGGGACGCTGGACTCCAAGCATGAGCTCATTGAAGACCCGAGGCCGCTCTACACGGTGAGTTGCCTTGAAGTCAGCCCAGTGGTGTACGATTCCATTTTGTCATGTTGACCTAATATTATGAAATAACAAGTGTCTGTCCAGATACTGGTCAAATAATCAACGTTGCTTAATTGCCCATCGTTGGTTGTCACCCTCTGTTTTGACCCCTTTTAAGCCAAGTTCTTCTATTCTTCCAGTTTCATTTTTTCCCCTCTGATGCTTTCAGGGAGAAGCCCAGGTCAGCCCCATCTCGGGCCGGTTGGAGCCCCACTACCCGGCCTGGAAGCGCAACCTCTTCCGCTATTTTGTGACCCTTCCCATCATTCTCCTCTGCCTGGCCATCACCTTCGGCATCATCCTGACCCTCTTCGAGCTCCAGGAGTTCGTCAATCGCCAGATAGAGGCTGAACGCTTCTCTGGGTGAGGTTCAAGAACAGTACCCCCTAATTTGCTCCCCATTGAGATGTTGAGTGCTTCCATGAAAGTGATGGTGAATGTTTTAGAGCTGGGACTCCCAAATAGTACTCGCAAGGTAGCAAGAATCTTGGTTTTACTCAGCCATTTCTCAACCTGGGCTCCCGCAGGGTGACCACACAAACAGAAGAACATTAGAACATTTCTTCATTTCTTGCCAGTAGCATTTGGAGCAAGGGGAGTGGCCGGACCTCTTTTGGACTCTAGAGGGTTGTTTTTTGGCCAGACATTCCTGAAGTAGTAATTGTGCACGTAGACATGCATGTAGGGACAATTTAGACCCCTTCTCCACTGTTTCTTGTGTAAAGTTCATATGAAAGTAGCATTGAAGTATTAGCGCTGGTCCTCTTCATTTTTTCATTTTTTTCTTTACGTAGTTTTCATGTGAAAATGCCCAAATCAATCAGTGGTTTTGGGGGGAACATGGGGTGCTTGGTGGTAGCAGTTTTCAAGTGCCAAAAGAACAGTCCATGAATGCCTCCCAAATCAAATTATGAAGGCAGACAACCGAGATGTTGATATGCCAAACCTGATGACAAATCTGATAGATTTCCCTTTATTATGCCATTACTTCATTCACGGTTTCCCACAGCTGGGTGGGCGTGCTGCCCAAGATCCTCTTGGCCCTCGTCATCTACGTTCTCGAGGAGTTCTACAAAAAGATTGCTCACTGGCTGAACGACAAGGAAAACTACCGGCTGCAGGCCACGTACGAGAACCACCTCATCATCAAGTTAGTCGTGGTAGGTCCTGTGATATGCATTAATGATTATGTGAACTTCAGATAAGTTGATCTTCATTAGGCCGTATCCCCACGATCCTTCAAAATCCACCAGGAAGTTTTTGGAGGGTTTTTCAAGATTGAGGAAGGTTTTCTGTTGAACAGAGGTTTTTGTTGGATTTTGGAAGGTATCAAGCAAGGAAAGGAAGTTAGGAACTCCCCTGCCCCACCCATAGTGTGTTGGTTGAAATATATGGGACGGCGACGGCCTGCTTAGTGCTACCAGATCCAAAAAGTCGACCATTCCCCAAGATTAAACATCGAGAGAGTCGCTGTCAGCCAGCCACCACAGGATCTAAGTGCAACATTATTTGGTGTGGTCATCTCTTAGCGAGCTGCCAGAATCAACCGTTAAAATGAAAACACTGATCTGTTCTCATCTTTTCCTCTTCAGGTTCAGTTTATCAACAATTTCCTGGCCCTTTTCTACATAGCTTTTTATCTTCAAGACATGAAGCGGCTGAAGCAGGTAGAAAAATCTTTTAAAATCCTTCATTTTTGGTGATCTTTAACCCTAACAGTCCTCAATCCTTCACCTGTTAGAGGACTGAGGACTTTCCTTCCCTTCCCAACTGAGGCTTCCTTGTAGTCCCCTCAACATGCTGCCTCTCACCAATTGTTGAAATCTGTTTTGTAAAGATTGAAATTTTTCCCTTAGATCTACTATCGGCAGCATTAAATCAACAGTCTAATGCAGCCATAAAACCAACCTGGTTTGTTTGCACCACGTCGTTGCAACTTAAAAGTTCGTCCACTTTCCACAGTGTGACAATGGAACCATTGGAGACAGTGGTACAGCACAAAGTTGGCGTGCTAGCCAGTTGGTGCTCATTAATCTGTAGAGCGTGTGCCTCTATGACAAGGTCACCAGTGAAACCAGATGGGAACAATTCACAATGCCACTAAACCAGCCGAGGAGGCTGACAGTCAGCGGCATGTCCATTGTATTGTAGGAGAAGGTCGACAAAGCGCAACTCTGACATAGCTATCGGGCATGGCTCTCTCACAACCAAATCATCCAAATCCCCCTTTGTCATTACATGGGATATGATTATTCAATGTTTCTTTGGTTTGTTGGCTCGCATTGATCTCACAGAGTGCCTGCAGGCTTCAACGCTTCAGAGCCAGTGACATGTTGCATAATCTGATCGTTATAGATATCAACCCACAAGCTTGAAATAGACCTTCGTTTGGATAAACATTCGGGGCGTGCACCATATCGTGCATCGCCCCTAAACCTTTTACCATAGTTTGACAAGATTCTCTCCACCGCACTCAGACCCTCGCCACCACCATCATCACCAAGCAGCTGATCGGCAACATCAAGGAGTCCCTCCTGCCGTACATCCTGGAGAAGTTGAAGGTCTACCAGATGACTTACAAGCTGGTGCAGGGTAGTGTGGACATGGAGGACGGTGGGGAGGAGGAATCGAAGACGGAGAAGCCCAAGACGGACCCCGAGGAGACGAGTCCTGAAAAGGAAGAAAACGCCGGTGGGAAGGCACTCTCTGAACAAGCTGTTTCAGAACAGGCCTCTGTACTGTTGACGTCACGCTTGTTCACATGCGCACTTTCCTATAGGGCCAGAGAGCGCCCACGGCCCACTGAGCACCGTAGGAAAGCACACGAATAAACAAAGTGTGTGGTCATCAGTTCAGAGGTCTATTAACTTGGTGCCATTGTCTTGAAGTTACAGATCTCATAAGGCCTTGGCTCATGGTGGACTTGCAGGGACTTATGCGGACTTGTGATAGACTTGCGGGGACTTGTGGTGGTCTTTTGAGGACTTGTGATGGGCTTGTAGGCACTTGTGACCGACTTGTGAGGATTTTCTATGGTCCTAGCTACAACACTGCCTCTCGATACTGCGCTGTAGCGTGAACTGCCTTCATCTTCTTGTGCGTGTGTAATAACCAGACCGATTTCAGTTCAATGTCTTTCTGTTGACAGATGCTTCAGCCAAGGATGAGCAGAAAGAGCTTTACCACAGCAAGGAACCCAACGAGAAATTTACACTGACACAGGCGGAGGTGGAAAGCTCGATGAAGACTTACGATGTAAGACACTCTTATGTTGCAGTGTGAAAGTAAATTCATGCGACCCTGCACCATCTCCAAACTGTACTTACTTTGGATTTGCAAGTTTAGTTGTACAGGGTCTGTTTAGCACTGTAACCTGTGTGTGGAAAGTTTTTGCCGTAAAGTCTGGGATCTGTTTCCAGCCCATGGAACTACGAGGCACATCTGACGTCTTGAAGCACCTGTGACAAACATTCGCTGGAGTTAAGATGCGTTACACTTTAACAAATTCACGCAGGAAGCATTTATCTTGATGTCACAATTTGGCATGGCATTCATTTCTCACCAAGTATAAGAAATTTTGATTGAATAGTCGTGGAATTTGCCTGGGTAGAGGGGTGGAATTTCATCGGCTGTGAACAAATTGCTCTGGCAATTCAAGCCTGGTCTGGGTCGGGAAGTGGGCTTTACATACCACCTCCTCATTTTTTATGCCTCCGCCCACCCTCCCACCAGGACACCTTTGAAGACTACCTGGAGATGTTCATCCAGTTTGGCTACGTCATCCTCTTCTCCTCGGCGTTCCCGCTGGCCGCCGTCTGCGCGCTGGTCAACAACGTCATCGAGATTCGCAGTGATGCCTTCAAGCTGTGCTCCAGTATGCAGAGGCCCTTCAGCCAACGGGTGGAGAACATCGGCACCTGGCAGGTGTGTTTTGTCAATCCTAGCTCCGGAAACAGTTTTGTCCTCGTCATGAGCAACTTTCCACATTTCTGGCCCTAAGCGTCTTTCTCTCTATAAAGTCTACTTGCGTTTACCAGTCGATAGCACCGTGCTTCCAGCTTCAAATAATGAGAGAAGGAAATTGAAAATGAACCTTCCAAGTCTTTGGCTTTAGCTTACGAAGGGAATTTGTATGTTTGACCCCTTTAAAGTACCCAACCAGAGAGAAGTGCTGTTTCAGTATTCTGCAGTGACAATTTTTAAGCTATATAGGAGTGGAAGTTGACATTAGCTAACACCAGGTTGCATACTCTACGTCTCAGGTCTCTACATCTCTCACCCGCAGTTATTCTGCTAAGAACAACTAAAAACAGGGCAAAGAGGATGTGAACCTTTTTTTAACCCGTTTTAATGTGTATGCCTTTTGTTTTGTTTTGTTTTTGGATTCGCAGGATGCCATGGAGGTCATGGGCGTCATTGGTGTTGTCGTCAATTGCGCTTTGCTGGGTACGACGGGCCAGATCTCCAGGGCATTCCCCGGACTGGCTGTGTCAGGGGGTCATCCTGGTGGTTGTGTTCCTAGAGGTGAGTCAGGTGCGCACCGACAAACGACCAGTTTCCACCTGGTGTACATGTAGATCCACACGGGATCCCGACAACATTAGACAGCAAGGCTGGGGTCGGAACCTCACTCGGCTGCGGCTGCTGTAACACTGGTGCCTATGGGAAGTGACTAGCCGGTAGCCAGTGGCTACATATGCTGTACTTAGCCGCAGCCGTAATATTCAGACTCAGTCTGAGATTCAAGCACTTGCCCATAGCCGTGACGTGCGTCTCAAGACTACTTTCTGCCGGTCTTAGTCTCGGACCATCTGGTCCTGACCACAACACTGGCTATTGTAGTCTCTCTGTTGCCATTTAGAAGGTACATGTACTTTGATAAGCCTGAAGTCCATAAAAAGTAGGTTCATGTATTTGTCAAAGAACACTGCTTTTTCCCTGTTTAAAAAAAAATGACAAGGTTGAATCAATGGTCTTCTTATCAGCCGTCATTGGCATTCTGGAGATGATGTGATTGTGCACAAATATTTCATTACTGAGATTCACTAAATTGTCACTCAGTCTTTTACATCAAGCTTGGGATTACAAAATCTGGACATGAAAGTGATGCTTAGGTCATGCTGTTTCAGGTGAAATTTGATTAGTTATGATTTGTTTTGCTTATGTCTACATGTTGCGTCCAGCACTTCATCCTTGCGATCAAGTTTGCGATCGCCTACGCCATACCAGACATTCCACACTGGGTCTCCATGGAGATGGCCAAGCTAGAATACAACCGCAGAGAAGCGCTCAAGGTAAAGTTTGTAAATCTGGCAACAAGTCAGACACGTGTGTTAGGTTCCATACAGAATTTGAAACAATTAAAACCAAGAATTTCATCGCCCTGGCACAGAATTTAAAGTGACAAATTTCTGACATTGGTGAGGGGAGCACCCTGAAACTCTTTGCCTTTCCATCTAGCGTGTTCGGTAAAATTATTCTTGAGTGACTTAATCTCCACCCTGTGGGCTGAAGTGGGAACCAGACCTTAATGCAGGTGGGAACCAGACCTTGACGTAAGTGGGAACCAGACCTTGACGTAAGTGGGAACCAGACCTTGACGTAAGTGGGAACCAGACCTTGACGTAAGTGGGAACCAGACCTTGACGTAAGTGGGAACCAGACCTTGACGTAAGTCCATGGGCGGTGTGGAGGGAGAGGGAGGGGATGCTAAAGAAGCAGTAGGTGCTTTCCTGTTGCAGTGAGGTAGGACACAGTACAATTAACCCCCATAGAAAAGCGTACATGTTAACAGAGTGCGACGTCAAATGTTGTGTTAGGTCTGTACACAGGTGTAATACAGGGTAATACCTAGGGAGTAAGTAACAAAGTGGTGCACTATAATTGGCCACACCCATCTCGGTCTTTCTCTTGTAAACTCAAGAAACTTGAGCTCGCCAACCTGCAGACGACCAAGGAGAACTTGTGCAGGGAGTCTACCATCCCGACTGCTGCAGCCTCCACCTCCACATCTGCAGCCCCGGAGAACTCCAGGGATGCTGGTCCTCATCAGCACGTCATCCCTGCAGAGAAACCCAGCAGCCTCTTGGCAACCGAGGAGGCTGGCGCCGCAGGGGTAAAGCCTCCCTCTGTCCCGGCCCGGAGGCAGGAGGCCAGCCGGGTCTGGCCCCCAGCCATGGCCGACATGGCCGCCAACTACAACGTGTTCAAGGACCTGGAGAGGATCCGCAGCCCGCCCACTTCCCCCACGGAGCCGGACACGCCCATCACGCCAACGTCGCCCAAGTCTGAAGAGGACAAAAAAACGGATTAAACACTCAAGACAGTGATTCCAAATTATAACATTTGGAATTCGTTTTCTTATCCAGAGACTAAAAGGAAGATGTAGATATTGACGCAGTAAAACGGAGGCTCTTTTAGAAATCTGCTTTGAAAATCTTTCATGGACGAAATTAGAATTCATACGCAGTGCCAGTATGCGTAGTGCCAATGAATGCGCAGTGCATCTTTCTTGTGCCTTTTTAATGAAATTCATTCCAGTACGCATCTGAAATTGATTGAATCAGCAGAAGGAGTGGCGTGATTACGTCCCGTGAATGAGATTGGCCTCTTTTTAAAACAAGGGTTTTTTTGGCTCTACTATTCATTTTACAAGCATTGTTTTACTGAATTTTCTCAGCGAGCTCGTTTAACAAATCTCCACAAGCTAGATCGGGTTGGACTTGAACCTACGACTTCCGAATTACTTCAACAGACAGTTTCAGATAAGTCGACCGTGAAATTGATCTGGATGGGAAAAGGGTTGATTTATTTAAACATACCCTGCCCTAGTTCCAACAATTCTGTAAAACAGCGTTATTTGCTAACATTTGCTTTTCAAAGAAATTCTGTTTTGTGTGATATCAACAGGTGGTAATGTCTACCAAATGTCAAAGTTTAATGAATTGAAGACTGTAGTTTATTTATTAAAAAGGAAATGAAAAACAAATGATGAGTAGCTTTGTTCCAAAGCTACATCATAATTTGCGAACTGGTAAAACTGGTAAAAGTTGACCTTAAGTTTTTAGTTCCATCATCTTTTTGATGCCAAAATTGGTAGAGGTGTGGTGAAAGGAATTTTAGACTGTTTGGGATGTTGTCGTTCAAATTATTTATTTTTTTCTGTTTTCATTTGCTGAGATCATCTTTGTTATTCAGCTTCAGGAAATCTTAAAGGTTTTAGAGCATCAGTCTGTTAATATGTGCAATGTAGATGATTCTATTTGCTGTAAATTTTGCAGCTTTAAATGAAAGAAATTAAGTAATTCTGTTCTAATCGCAAAAAAAGGAGACAAACTTTGTGCAATGTAATTTTTCTCTCATGTATATTTGCTGTCCTGACGGGTATGAAAATTGCACACACTTTCTGGAACAAAAGAGGTAAAAGTCCTGTCATTTATGTAACTGTTTCCATATTTTTCCAAGCAAAACTCAGCATTGGCCGGGGCTTTGTACGTAGTCACTTTTAAGGCCCTTTCCTGTCAGTTTCTGGTGTCAAATGAACATTATACCTAATTTTACAAAAATACTAACTACTGATAATTTGCATGCCGCTTCTTGTTTGCATTTTGGGCAATTTATTCAGATGTTCCTCCTTAATCAATGTACTGCTTGTGAGCATGTGCAAGAATTATGTAAATAAAGAATCTTTCTATTTGTTTCAAATGTAAACAGATAAAACCTAAGTTTTGCCAAGTTAGAAATGATGCTTTACAATATGCTTGATAGTTTCTGGTAGATATTTAGAGGGGAATTTGATCAGAGCAAACTCGGGTATTTGTGCATCCATTTAAGTAGTTCAAACTGGAAAATTTAATTTGACATTAGTGATTAACTTGATGAAAGTCGGAGCTGTGTTGAGAAAACTATAGGCATACCTCCTAGTGTTCAGTCAAGCGATAGCAATTGTTCAATGCTTTAAAGTGACAAAATGCCCCAGTTGCTGTCTAGTATCACCCAGCTGAAAACTGGAGTTCAGACAGCTGGACTGAGGTTTTCTTGGAAATGAAATTCACGGCATGGCTTTGGACACTGCTTATTTGTGTTAGATCAAATGAGTAAATCTGATCATTTTTAATGGGTGAACGTTTGAGTAGGTCCAGTGCAATAGAGCGAAGTGATGATACAAGGTACCAGACCTAGATACATGTAGCTCCTCCGTTCTAACTATGACATGTCTTCTATCTGTGCACAATAAATCAACTTGCTGCACTTTTTGTATTGCATTGTACAGCACCCAGCAGGGTAAAGATTCAGCCTATATATTTGTATAATGCCAGTACTATTTCTACGGCACTGCATTCAATATATTCCTTTATTTCTAGTTTTTAGGATATTTTTGGTCCAAATTATATCCCTTGTACTGTTTAACTGTGAATTATTTTGGAGTTTTTGCATTGTTCAGATTTATTTTATATGAGTTTGCAGTTGTTATTATGTTTTACTTTTTTTTTTCGTAAGCACAAGGAAATGGAAGATTTTTCTGCATAATAAGCCAGAACTTTGAAGTTGAAACTTAGATTGCAATGAATAAACATGGAGATATGGAAAACTATTAAAAAGTCTTGTCACTTTTTTAGTATTATTGTATCATTATTATTTTTATAAGTATAACTGTTGGCATGGATTCCCAAACTCCCAAACAGAAGGAAATCATTTTTTTAAATTTTTATCCCAGAACATTCGATTCCTGAAGTTTACTTATTAAAAACGATGTGACAAAACTTCTCAGGACTTGGCAAAATCCAGAGAACCAGCATTTCTTTCCAATTATCTGACTCCCTCCTCCCTTAAAAATCCTTGATCTTAAGAACTGGAAGGTTTTCCAGAAACATTTCCGATGAAGAAAACTTTACTCATTTCATTCACTAGTACCAGCCTCCGAGTCCAAGAACCAAATTAAATGGTCAAGATGAAAATTGTCAGTATTGGTGCTTGGAATGAAACCAACCTTGAAATGGTTTAACGAGGCTCCCGCTTCCCCAACCCAACTAAACATAGCCCACGCCCCTTCAGACTTTAGTAGGGATTATCCACCGCCGGCCAGCAGGGGAAGTACCCCCACCCTTTCCCCCGCCCCCATAATCTGCCTTGATCTGAGCCTAATCCCCTGATCATTCGTCCAATTCTGAGCAACAGAGGGCGCTCTCAACTGTTTGCCGAGAAAAACGTGAATCCTGTGAAGTGGTGTCTGGCATTGGGAATTTGTGTGGTTTTTTGACCGACAATGTGCACGTGAAATTCTAATATTTCGCCCGAATGGCAGATTCTCATTTTCTCGTTGCAACCAGCATTGCTCCAGGTCAATCATGGTAAGATCATTCCTCGTATTTTTGGACGAAATCATCATCTTAATATTATAAATATATTGGCGACGAAGATTGTCAGATTGTATTTTTCAGCCGATGTCAATAGTGACTCATTGGTCGAGTTCAGGC